CCACGGCAGTTACTCCTATGGGGAGAGTGGGTGAGGGGGCAGGGAAACGTGGTACATGGTTTTAGTGGTGAAGGGTGGGGGAAGGGGATGGGGCAAGAGTCTCAGCTGGAAAGAGAGAGACCCCACAGAACATTTTCCAGGGTCCAGGGCAAGTGCCCGCATGGGCTGGGAGCCGGTGTGTCCTCATCCCTGGACGCTGGCGACGGGTGGAGATGTCAGCGGATGGCAGCGAGGGTGAGGAGACTCAAAAGCTACCCTTCTCCCCTGTAGGACATCCCGACTTGACCTTCAGAAGGCAAGAGAGGGAATGTCCTCTGAGGCGATGTGGGATGGGTCTGGGAGGAGCAGTACGCAGGGCTGCCCTCAAATCTCAGGACTGCGAGGGTCAAGAACCAAAGCCACTTCCCAGAGTGCCTGCCTGCTGCCAGTCGGTGAGGGCAGACGCCGCCCCCAGCCGCTACAGCGCAGGACGGGGCCATTGCCTCCAGTCTTCCCTGCTGGGCTTGTCTGGGGTGGGAAGCGAGGAGCTGTCCAGGGCCCACCCGGGGTCCTCCATCACTCTCCCCAGGGCCTCCTGGAGTGGAGCCCAGCATGCCTGGGGGTGCCAGTCATCTGTCTGCTGCCCACAATATTGGCAGGTCCCTTGCTGCCAGTCAGGGCTCTGCAATGGATAAGCACAAGGTGTATTCTTGTCTCTCTCACCTGCTATATGAAGGCCTGGACTCAAGGCACCTGGAGTCCTGAGAGGTGCCCAGAGATGGCTCTGAGGTTTTCCTTGAGGCAGGAGGCACTAATGGCCACTGGGGACTGCTCGGCCCGGGGGAGATGTTCCCATGTTCTGCCCCACCAGCCCCAGCCCCAGACTCTCCCGTATCCAGGTTACTGAGGCCAGAGATCAGAGCTGCAGCTGGGTCTCTCTGCCCCTACTCAGTGCCATGTAGGTGAAGGACAGAAGATTCTGTCATTGCAGGGTAGGTGCTACCTGTGGGCTAGCCTGGGCCCCGGACTGATGGGAGAGAACAAACACCGAGGGATGCCTGGCAGGAAGGAGGTCGTGGGGACTTCTGAGGCAGCCACAATTTACTGTAATGGCTGTTCTGTCTACATTCCCCAGTGGGGCTTAGAGAAAGTTGCCAGCGATCTGATTGGGCTCAAAGTCAGTCTGGGATGTGAGGTCTTGCCCATTCTCCTCCATGAAGTTTGTCTTGGATGGGACTTCATCCCATGAGCAAACCCTGGGGCTGGAGAGTCCTAAACACAAAGCCTGCTGGGTTGCAGAGGGGCCCGCCCAGCCAGGGCAGCTCCAGGGTTCTTCAGTGTCCACCCAGAGCCGGAGGGGGAAGCTCACAATTCACAAAAATATCCACTGGGCACTGATCTGGGAGGCGGGAGGCTCACACCAGAGCAGAGTCACCGTCCAGGGTGGAGAGCCGGGCTCTGAGTCTGTGCAAGAGCAAAAGGCGAGAGTGCATCCTCAGACTGGCCCTGGTTCGCTCTGGGAGTGGGCTTTGCCACTGCATTTCCTCTTTACCTTTTTCTCTATTTTCTAACTTTTTTGTGATAGCTTTTAAAGCTTTTATAATCACAAAGAAAAGGGCAATTGTTTTTTTTTTTTTTTTTTTTTTTTTTAGTAATCTGGAAAGCTAGTGGGAACTAATGGAATATACAAGGGAAAGTCAGAAATAGCAAAATTCCAGGTGAGGGAGAGCTATGGAATATGAGTAGCTGCTGAGGCTGTCTGGCCTGGGAATCTGGCAGATCGATTGATAGTGAGGTTATCTAGTCTATGGCCATGCCATCCTGAAAGCACCCGATCTTGTCTGATAGTGAGTTTATCTAGTCTGTCCCCTGCTTTCATAGATAGCGATGCTGAGATACCAAGACGGGAAATGACTTGCCCAGGTCTGTACTGGAGGAGTGGGCCCTAGAGCACCAGGGCTCTTGCCTGCACCAGTGTCCCACCTCGGCCAAGCCCAGGGCAGAGTGGGAGATCTGGATTCTGCCCTCGGAGCTGAGCAGCCTTAATTCCAGGGGCTCAGCCAGAGCAGTAAATCAGCCAAGCAGAGGGCTGTGTAAAGGACTTATGTAAGTGACTTTGCTCAGTGTGGCTCTCCCAGCTAGGCAGGGACGGGGTGGGAGGCTGTTAAACCAAGCAAGATCATAAGTCCTTCTGCCAGGGTGGACACTGCTGTCTCGATGACTGGTTCTAAGGATAAGGAAACATCTGAAGGCTGTGTGTGTGTGTGTGTGTGTGTGTGTGTGTGTGCGCGCGCCAGCTCACCCCACCCCACCATAGAAGGAAAGCCTCCATTCTTTCCATGGCTGGGAGAGCTTGGGGACAGGGCAGGGTAGTCTTGTCCTGGAGACCACCTGCTGGGCCCATGACAGTGGCAAGTGGAGGCTGCTTTGTCCTGGCGGTGGCCTCTCAGAGCTGCCAGGAAGGGTGACAGGGCATGTAGGGGCTGTTTAGGGAGCCTGCAGAGGAGGGGGCCAAGCCAGAGGGAACCATGCTGCCATGGTTTAATTCCCCACTGAGATGTGAGCAAGTGAATGAGGGTGAGCAGAGGGGCGCAGATGGTGGTGACAGTGGTGGGGGGTAGGAGAAGCCTGGAGCAGAGCCCATCCATGGGGCTGAGCTGGCTCAGGCAGACGGGCAGCCAGTCTGGGTCAAATCGTGAGCACAAAGGGATCTTTCCATGGGCACCTCAGCTGATGACCACTGCAGGGACAGTTCATATCAGTGACACAGCCGTCCACCCAGCAGATCAAGAAAAACTAGAAGCTTAGAATAGGAAAGATTATGCAAGAAGGGAGAGAAAAAAAAAAGCCATACAGTATTGAAAAAGATTTAGCTGCTCAGGAGGGAAGTCAGGGGGTGGTCCCCAGAGAAGATCTGGACGAGAAAGGGAACTAGAGCACCCAGAAAGTGCCTGGATTTTTTTTTGGAGGGTCTTTCCTGCAGTTTGCTTGGAGAAAGGTAGGCTTGCTCTGTCCTCCACTGAGAGCTCAGCCCTCCCCAGCCAAGCCACCTGAACATAGACAGCCCTGGAGTTGAAGTCAGAGGCCAAGCCTGGGCCAGGTTCCCGTGGTCGAACACCACAGTGCTGGGACCCAGGCCCAAGCAGAAGTGGGTGCTGCTTCTGCGAGGATCCCCTGCACATAGCAGACCTTTAGTGTTGTCAGGAACTTCCTGCCAGAGCCCCATCGCCAACCCCAGTTCAGCCCCTGTCCTGGGGGCTGTGGCCTCCCTGGGTTACAGCCCGCACAGCTGAGCTGGTTAGCACACGGCTCATTAACGGAGCAGCGGCTGGCTCTTGAGGGCTCAGGCAGGCGGCTGTCTGTGGCACGTGGCTGGAAGCATCACCACCTTCCCCGTACCCTCCCATGCCAGGGAAGGAGCAGACTTCAGGGATCCAAATGTGGTCCCATTTGGTCGGGGGGTATGGGGCATCTGTCCCTCATCCTGCTGGGAACAGGAGACAGGCCTTGGTCTTCAAGCCTTGGGAACCTGGATCTCTGAAAAGGGCCTTGCCCTTCCCCTGCCCATGGGGCCATCCTGGACCATCAGTTGTTCCTTTCACAGCTCTAACTGCTGCTCTGTGACCCCATCCGTGTACTGTGCCGCTGGCACAATCAGGCATTGTGGCCCTCAGTAAACAACCCTGGGACAGAAGAAAACTGGCATTGTAGGGTCAACATATAGGAGCCCTATTTGGCTGACATTTGTTTGGGACCAGAGAAACCACCCCCAGCAGGCCTCACAGCCTCCAAAAAATGGCCCCTTGACTCTGTGATCTTGCCACACCTGCCCCAGTGAAGGCCCCAGGAGGTGGTGACGTGCTCAGGCAGGATTCTGTAGGGGCATGTCACAGAAGGCACATTCAGGCCGGGGGCCACCCTCTCCCAGGGCCAAGCATGTCTTCAAGCCTCTTCATCAGGGAGGCCTTCCTTGACCTCAGTCCTGCTTTCCCGCCTTGTCCTCCTTCCATAGTCTTGTGATTTTGAGATGATCCCCTCTATGGTCACACTGAAGCCGCATCTAAAGATGATAGGTGTGTACATTTCATTAATGGCTTGCGCCCCCACTGGACTTCCATCTCCGAGTGGGTAGGAGCTCTCTGCTGAAGTCCCACTTCCTGGCACAGTGCCTGGCACATAGCCGGTGTCAATAAATCTGCCATTGCATGAATGAATCAACGAATGAATGAAAGAAGGCTTGTTCAGCCACCGATTTGTTCTGGGTGCTCCCTGAAGGAAACCCATGGTCCCTGGCACTGCACCTCTGCCCTCTGTGGAGTGTGTGAGGGTCACATCACGCCAGGATTGATGTTGGATTGGGTGCACAGGGTGGCTGCCCACAAAGGTGTCTGTGCTGCAGTGCCCACCCATCAGGTCTTGGTGCCTCCTTTGCCCACATTCCCACCTGGCCTATCCAAGGCACTTGGGCCCAGGGAGACCATTCGTCCCGTCTGTGTGTGTTCATCAGCATCAGGGTGTGATAGCATTTCACCTGCACCAGGCTGCCTTGCTTATTGGCCAGAGTGACTGCTGTCCTTGAATATGTCTCTTTCAAGTGGAGGGTCAGTGTGACATCACTGGCATCTCTCTGAGGCTACGGGGCTCCATCTCTGATGCCGGGTCTGTCTGTGTCTCTCAGGGGAATAGCCCAGCTCTGGGAGGCTGTCTCTGGCACTAAGGTCTCTGTGTTTCTGTTGGTGACACTGAGCCCCTGTCTCCCTAGTGAGACCCCTTGGGGCCCTCGGGCTCTGGTTAATTTCCTGTTCACTGTGAGAGGGAGGTGGAAGGAGCATGGCACTTATTAAGGAACTTCTTTAACCAAGGGACTTGCAGAGCCAGTTCCAGCTTTTGGGCCTGGGGTTTCACAAGGGGCTGTCCTCAGTGAGGCCCAGGCCACCAGCCCAGTCCTGCGGGCCCCACATTCTTCCCTGGGGCAAATCCCCGCATCTACCTCTCCTGACCTTCGGCCCCCTCCCCTGCAGGTAACGCTTCTCCCTGTTCAGAGATCCTTCTTCCGGCTGCGCTTTTCCAGAGCCACTCCTTCCATTTCCCTAGCAGAGTCTATCCTCAAAGTCTGGCATGAGGCCTACAACTCTGGTCTCCTTCCCCAACTCATGGCCCAGCACTCCCTAGCCATGGCCCAGGTCAGCTCCCCAGGGCTCCTCCCCAGTCATGGGCAGTATAGCTAGCTCCCCGGACCCTCCCACCTAGAGTCCCAGAATGCCCTCCCCAGGTCTGGCCCGGCTCAGCTGCTCCCCCATTTCCTCCCAGCCCTGCCCACTCTGTGCCCCCAGGAAGAAGCCTTCAGCTGGGGGAGGGGTCTAGCCTCCCCTCCTCCGCTGTCGCCTGCCCAGGGGCAGCGTGCTCAGCCTGGTGATGTGGTAGGCGACGGGTGGGGGGGCTGCCTGGACACAGGCCCCTTTGTGCCCAGCCTGACTTGGCTGCTTGGTATGAGGCTCAGCTGCTCCCAGGTCCTTACCCAGAGGTGCAAGGGGAGGTTTTGAAGGGGCTTAGGGGCTCCTGGCCCTAGCTCCCTCTTCAGTGTCCCACCTCCCAGATGCTGGCAGCAGCTCCTCAGGTGGGCTGTGCACCTGGCACTGGGTGCTGTGGGGCTGGTGAGGGAAGCTCTGCTTGGCGCCCTCTGGCAGCCACTACTCTCTGCTTCCTTCCTTGCCAGGCCTGCCTGAAGCTCCTGCCAGCAGAGGGGAAGCCCAGGGAGGGGTGTTGGAGGGTCCATGGTTTCCCTGCTGGGGGAGGCCCAGAGGGTCAGGCATGGAGCACAAATGCCTTGCTGATGGTAGCTTCTCTCCTGTCCCCACAGAATGGTGCTGTGCCCAGCGAGGCCACCAAGAGGGACCAGAACCTCAAACGGGGCAACTGGGGCAACCAGATCGAGTTTGTACTGACGAGCGTGGGCTATGCCGTGGGCCTGGGCAATGTCTGGCGCTTCCCATACCTCTGCTATCGCAACGGGGGAGGTACCCAGCGGGCACAGGGCAGGGACCACCCACTTGGGTAGAGCCCACCCACTAGGGCCTGGGCCACCCTCTCCCTGGCACAGACCCACTCCAGATAAAGGCTGGCCTCCGGCCTTGGCCTCCTTTGCCCCCATCCCTGGCTTAGGCACCCTTTGCCTAAGGCAGGCCACCCTAGACCCTGGCAGTCTGTTGTTCGGGCCTGGCCCTGCCATTGGCCCCCTTTGAGGTGAGGAGAGGCAAGAAAGGACCTAACCCCCACTCAGGGATCCCTGTTCTATTCCCTGGGGTTCAGCAGCCCCCCTAAATGGTTCAGGGTATTTGAGGATCTCAGCAACTTATGCTTGTGAAATCGCTTGGTTAAACCATCAAATCCCACCCAAGTATGGAGGCTCTGGGGCCTGGATTCCACTCTGAGCAGACTTCCTGAGAGCCTCCGTCAAGTTAAAAGACAGGCTGGGGGTGGTGTGCCTCAGCCCAGGCTCCTGCTCAAGCCTGGCACACTCCTCCCTGGGTCCTACCCAATCACGAAGGTTTTGCTGTTGGGTTCTGAGCAGGAAGCCCAGGGTGAGATCCCTCCAAGCCCACTCCTGAGCCAGACCTCTCCCTGCCTACCAGGCGCCTTCATGTTCCCCTACTTCATCATGCTCATCTTCTGCGGGATCCCTCTCTTCTTCATGGAGCTCTCCTTCGGCCAGTTTGCAAGCCAGGGGTGCCTGGGGGTCTGGAGGATCAGCCCCATGTTCAAAGGTGAGGCCTGGGCGGGGCCCTCGCTCACACACACACAAACACACAACGGCCTCTGAGGGCCGTGCCAACTCGCCCATCTGTACAAACACGGCTGACCTCTGTAGAACCCTGATGCTGACCCCAAGCCCCGCATCAATGGCCTAAGCCCTGGGATGCATGCTGGGACCCATGTTTACTTGGCCGCCACCCTCCCCTCCTACCACGTGTACACACAAAACTCCTTTGGCCCCCTGGCCAACTTACCCCTACCAAGACCTCGACCTGGCCTTCCTATGGCCCTCCATCTCAGCCTGCCCCTTGGGACCTTAGAGATTATTAACCTTGGGCCGGGCACAGTGGCTCACGCCTGTAATCACAGCACTTTGGGAGGCCGAGGTAGGCGGATCACCTGAGGTCAGGAGTTGGAGACCAGCCTGACCAACATGGAGAAACCCCATCTTGGCCTGGCGTGGTGGTGGTGGCTCATGCCTGTAATCCCAGCACTTTGGGAGCCCGAGGCAGGTGGATCACAAGGTCAGGAGATCGAGACCATACTGGCTAACACGGTGAAACCCTGTCTCTACTAAAAATACAAAAACAAAATTAGCCCTGCCTGGTGGCGGGCGCCTGCAGTCCCAGCTACTCAGGAGGCTGAGGCGGGAGAATGGCGTGAACCTGGGAGGTGGAGCTTGCAGTGAGCCGAGATCATGCCTCTGCACTCCAGCCTGGGTGACAGAGGGAGACTTCATCTCAAAAAAAAAAAAAAAGGAAAAAAAAAGAAACCCCATCTCTACTAAAAATATGAAATTAGCCGGTTGTGGTGGCGCATGCCTATAATCCCAGCTACTCGGGAGGCTGAGGCAGGAGAATCACTTGATCCCAGCTACCCGGGAGGCGGAGGTTGCAGTGAGCTGAGATCGCGCCATTGCACTCCAGCCTGGGCAAGAAAATAAAAAACTCTGTCTCAAAAAAAAAAAAAAAAAAAAAAAAAAACGCCGGGTTCGGTGGCTCACGCCTGTAATCCCAGCACTTTGGGAGGCCGAGGCAGGCGGATCACAAGGTCAGGAGATTGAGACCATCCTGGCTAACACAGTGAAACCCCGTCTCTACTAAAAATACAAAAAAATTAGCCCAGTGTAGTGGTGGGCGCCTGTAGTCCCAGCTACTCAGGAGGCCGAGGCAGGAGAAGGGCGTGAACCCGGGAAGTGGAGCTTGCAGTGAGCCAAGATTGTGCCACTGCACTCCAGTCTGGGTGACAGAGCGTGGGCGACAGAGCAAGACTCCGTCCCAAAAAAAAAAAGAAAAGAAAAGAAAAAAGAAATTATTAACCTTACCTCCTCCTGCTGGATGCGTGAGGCTCCTCCCCCCTGCCCCTCCCGTCCTGCAGGCGTGGGCTATGGTATGATGGTGGTGTCCACCTACATCGGTATCTACTACAACGTGGTCATCTGCATTGCCTTCTACTACTTCTTCTCGTCCATGACGCACGTGCTGCCCTGGGCCTACTGCAATAACCCCTGGAACACGCGTGACTGTGCTGGTGTGCTGGACGCCTCCAACCTCACCAATGGCTCTCGGCCAGCCGCCTTGCCCAGCAACCTCTCCCACCTGCTCAACCACAGCCTCCAGAGGACCAGCCCCAGCGAGGAGTACTGGAGGTGAGGCACCCGTGGGACCTGGGGTGGCAACCCTGTCCCCACTGGGCAGCCATCTGAAGACAAAGTCGGGTGCCTGCTGTAGGTTCAGCTCCCTGCTGGGCTGGGAGAGGGTAGAGGTGAGTGAAGAGGTTTAGGAGAAGAACCTGATGTACAGAAAGCAATGGAAAATGGAGGCTGGGCGCGGTGGCTCACGCCTATAATCCCAGCAATTTGGGAGGCTGAGATGGGTGGATCACGAGGTCAGGAGATTGAGACCATCCTGGCTAACACGGTGAAACCCTGTCTCTACTAAAAATACAAACAAAGAAAAAAAATTAGCCGGGCATGGTGGCAGTTGCGGGAGAATGGCGTGAACCCGGGAGGTAGAGCTTGCAGTGAGCTGAGATCGCTCCACTGCACTTCAGCCTGGGCAACAGAGTGAGACTTGATCTCAAAAAAAAAAAAAAAAAAAAAAAAAAGAAGGAAAACAATGGAAGATGGATGTTGAGTTGCAGGATCTTTACAGAGCAGCCGTGAGGAAGGCCATCAGAAATCCAGCAAACCAGCCTTCAGAGGAGACTCAGGAAAGTGGGGGCAGATCCTGGGGAGAATAAGAGTGTGGGTAAAGGCCCTGTCCCCGATGAGCAGAGGCTGGCCCCAAGGCTGGAGAGAGCCTGCTCTGATGAGAGTAACAGGTGTGGGGAGAATGTATGGGCTTCAGGTGGCCTAGGAAGTGGTACTGCTTTCATAAAGAACTTGCCAGGATTAGGCTTAGACTTGATGATGCAGAACAAAAGACGCCATGGAAGGTCTCTGAGCCGGGGGTGCTGTGATCAAGACATCGTGGCACATTTTGTTTAGAGACGACAAAGAGACCAGAGTTTCCGGCCATCCTGCTGTGCCCTCCACCCACCAGTTGGAAATTCCCTGTGTCTTGCTGGGGAACCCCTGGGCATAGAGCTTTGGGGGGCATGCTGGCAGGCCTCCACCACTCATTCCACAGCATTCACGCCTCTGCTCTGCCAGGCCCTGTGTCCCCATGGTGGGTATGAACGGCCCAGAGCCCCTGTCCTGAGGAGCTCACAGGGTAGTGGGGAGACAGATTGCTAATCACAGTAGGGCAGGTGCCTCGGTCCAGGTGTGTGCAGGGGTGTCATGGGGACACAAAGGGGTAGTGCTTGGTGCTAAGGGGATGGGGCAAGACCCGGCAGTCAGGGCTTCCCAGAGAAGGGAGAGAGGAAAATAGAGAGATTGGGAGCCGCATGAGCAGGTGAGCAGAGGGGCAGGAGGCAAACTGGAGCTGGGGTTGGAAGCAGGTGGGACGCTGAGTGATAAGACAGAAGAGGCCAGCAGGCATCATATAACACAGGGCCTCCCATGCCAGGCTAAGGGCTTGAGGCTTTCTCCACATGTAATGGAAAGCCATGACTGAAATGCACGAGGGTCCGAGGATACCGCAAGTCACCACAGGTCCTCTAAGCCCAGGCCCGAGTGCTCTGACCCTGAAGGACCCAGTTTCCCTGTGCCAACCTCTGTGCTGGGCTGTAGACACTCAAAGACAGGTAAGACAGGGCCACTATTCTCAAGGACCCAGAGCATAGCGAACACAGCTGCTGTCCCCCAGAGAGGCATGGACAGACTCAGACACTCAGTCACCAGACAGGTCATTTCTCTTTTATGTTTAAATTTTTAACATCCTAACATTTATTTTCTTTTTTAAAAACACACCTGGAACTGAATGGACAGTTTTTTTTGTTCTTTTGTGTTTTTTTGAGACAGAGTCTCACTCTGTTGGCCAGGCTAGAGTGCAGTGACGCGATCCCAGCTCATTGCAACCTCCGCCTCCCAGGTTTAAGTGATTCTCCTGCCTCAGCCTCCCTAGTAGCTGGGATTACAAGCACCTGCCACGATGCCTGGCTTGTTTTTGTGTTTCTAGTAGAGACAGGGTTTCGACATGTTGGCTGGGCTAGTCTCGAACTCCTGACCTCAGGTGATCCACCCGCCCTGGCCTCCCAAAGTGCTGGGGTTACAGGCATGAGCCACCATGCCCAGCTGATTTATTGAGCACCTACTAGGTACTGGGTACTGTTCTCAGAAGGGAGAGAGGGTGGGGAGGAAGACACTGTCCTCACAGAGCTGCTGTCTGACGGGAGAACAAGCAGATACTGCCGAGTGAGGCATTTTACTACATTTGAGGCATGATGTGGACTGGGCAACTTGATCTAGTCTGGGGTGATGAACCTTCCTGGAAGCTCCCAGAAACACAAAGCCTTGTGCACCCCCACCCCCAGATGCTTCAGTGGTGGTTGTCCCAGGGACCGACTCAGAGATTCCCAGCCCTGGGCCCACCCAGGGCAAAGCTCTAGAGATTTTATCCAGTAAAATCAGAGGCGAAGAGCCTTCAAAGAAATCTGGCTGGTGGAGCCGCTGCACTCTACTCCCCAGTGCGGGCTGGAGCCAGGCCTGCCTAACTGGCCACTGTCCCATGCAGGACACCTTCTCAGCAGCATGGCTCCCTGCTGCCCTCTCCTGGAGAGTCAGGGAAATGGCCCTGAAGAGAGCAACCCAGGCTGGCTTCAGCAAGGAAAGAAAGGAAGCACCCTTATTGTTGATCACCTACTACGTGCCAGGCATATTATCTAAGTAGATATTAGTATCCATATTTTCAGATTCAGAGACTGCCGTTTAGAGGTTAAGGAGCTAGGCAGCAGTTGCTGTCAGAATCTGCGTGCGTTGCGCCCCTCTGGTGCTGCTGTTGCTGGGTGTGCCGCCGTGAATGAGGTGGGGGCGGCTCTGCAGGTGTTTAGTCCACACTTTCCAACAACCCTTTGGACAGCTGCACCATCTCACTGGAGTGCCACAAAAACCCTGTTAGGTAGCTTGTGTAGGGATTTTTAAAATCACCATTTTACAAATGAGGGAAGCGAATCAAAAGTCAGATGAAGAGACTCTGAGAGAAGCTCAAAGGGTAGATTTCTGAGCCCATGTCTGCCTCTCACCCACTCAACCTTGTCACTCAGAGTCCTCCCCTCCCTCGCCACCCTCTTCACAATGTTGCCTTCCAGTCCTCTGTGCTGGTCTGACACTTGCTACTGGGCCCTAAACACATGACCAGGCCTTCTCACCTCTGCCGTCCTTGTGGGGCCCAGATCCTGTCCCCAGGGTCTTCATGGCAGCTCTGGAGTCACACGGACCCCTCTCAAATCCTGGCTGTGCCACTTATTAGCTGTGGCCTTGGGAGGTCGTTCACAGTCATTTGTCCATGAAATTGGGTGGTCATGATACCTACCTGGTTTTAAAGACAAAATGAGATAATGCAACCTAAATCACTAAAACTGCTGATAGGAGCTCAGGCAGCACAACCATAGCCCCTGTGGGACCTGTTCCTGAGGGTCCTGTTCTCAAGGCGCTTACCACCTGGCTGGGAAAATAAGATATGTCATGTGGAGACGTCTTTAAAACAATGCAGAATAATTCTGGAGATGTCATGTGTCAAGAGGCCACTTGTAAATATGTTGGGTTCCAAATGTCCTTAGGCTGTTTGATCTCAAAAGCGTGTGCTCCAAAACCAAAACCAAACAAAAAACAGAATATGGTGCCATAAAAATAAAGCTAGAATTCATCATTTGGTTTCCAGGCTAGCCTTTTAAACTCTTCAGTCCCTAACATTGTAATGCTGTGTACTTGCAGTCAAAAATAATATAGGCCAGGTGCGGTGGCTCATGCCTGTAATTCCAGCACTTTGGGAGGCTGAGGCAAGAGGATCACTTGAGCCCAGGAGTTCGAGACCAGCCTGGGCAATATGGTGATATCACAACTCTACAAAAAATACAAAAATTAGCTGGGCGTGGTGGTGCACACATGAAGTCCCATCTACTCGGGAGGCTTAGGTGGAAGGATCGATTGAGGTGGGAGGATTCGAGGCTGCAGTGAGCCATGACTGTGCTGTTGTACTCCAGCCTGGGCTATAGAGCAAGACCCTGTCTCAATAATAATAATATAAAACACTACCTGTTTAGCATTTATGGTTAGACAAAGTATTAAAAAATCCTTCAGGCCGGGCACGGTGGCTCACGCCTGTAATCCCAGCACTTTGGGAGGCCAAGGCGGGCGGGTCACCTGAGGTCAGGAGTTTGAGACCAGCCTGGCCAACATGGTGAAACCCTGTTTCTACTAAAAATACAAAACTTAGCCAGGCATGGTGGCGGGCACCTGTAATCCCAGCCACTCGGGAGGCTGAGGCAGGAGAATTGCTTGAACCTGGGAGGTGGAGGTTGCAGTGAGCCCTGATTGTACGAATGTACTCCAGCCTGGGTGACAGAGCGAGACTGTGTCTAAAAAAAAAAAAAGAAAGAAAGAAAAAAGAAAAACCTTCAAACAAGAAATGGTTTCTTTACTTTGAATGCTGGTGCTGGAGGTAGAGCAGTTGTTCTCTGCCCTCTTCCCTGAGGGCTGGGGAGATGCCCCTGCAGGCCTGTATGCCCAGCACCTAGCACACAGCTGGGCACGTAAATGTCTGGTTGATCAAAAGATCACAGCTGGTATGGCATAGGGTGCCAGATGGAGCCACCCAGAGGGGAGAAATTTGGGTTCAATCTTTTTTTGAGATGGACTCTTACTCTGTCGCCAGCCTAAAGTGCAGTGGCACAATCTCGGCTCACTACAACCTTCGCCTCCTGGGTTCAAGAGGTTCTCCTGCCTCAGCCTCCTGAGTAACTGGGATTACAGGCACCCGCCATCATGCCCAGTTAATTTTTGTATTTTTGTAGAGACGGGGTTTCACTATGTTGGCCAGGCTGGTCTTGAACTCCTGACCTCAGGTGATCTGCCCACCACAGCCTCCCAAAGTGCTGGGATTACAGGTGTGAGCCACCACACCCGGCCAGGGTGCAATCTTTACTGAGCTTTCCACTGCCCACTGCCGCCCTCAGTTTATCAGAGATAGAGCTAATTGGTGCACGTAAAATGCTCACTGGTGGCTTCCTGGAGGACCCACCTGACCTCAGGTGATCTGCCCACCTCGACCTCCACAGAGCGCAGGGATTACAGGCACAAGCCACCACACCTGGCCAGGGTCCAGTCTTTACTGAGCATTCCACTGCCTCCCTCAGTTTATCAGAGATAGAGCTGATTGGTGCAGTGAGATGCTCACTGGTGGCTTCCTGGAGGAGGTGACACCTGACAGGATGAGGAAAAGGCATTCCTGAAGGGAGAAACATGCAAACAAGGACCTGGGCTGAGCCCAACCAGAGACAAGAAGATCTCCTCGTGCAGGGACTGGGAAGACCACCCAAACCAGGGGTGTGGCCTCCAGGAGCCCTTGAAGGGCCTGGGAAAGGCTACAGAGCAGTGGACTGTGTCGGGCTCCCCAGGGGCTGCAGCAGGTGGAGGGGGCTGGGCCGGCCAGGGCTGGGCCCCTGAAGTAGCTCCCATGTCACACAAAGTGGCTGCTGGGACCTCATGACAAAGGAGGGTATGGCCCGGGTGGGCCCTGAGCCTTGGGAATTTGTTGCTGGGCAGCGGGGGCTGGCCATCCGTAACAGAGTCTCCCCTTCCCAGGCTGTACGTGCTGAAGCTGTCAGACGACATTGGGAACTTTGGGGAGGTGCGGCTGCCCCTCCTTGGCTGCCTCGGTGTCTCCTGGGTGGTCGTCTTCCTCTGCCTCATCCGAGGGGTCAAGTCTTCAGGGAAAGCAAGTACCCCTCCCCCGGCAGGGTCTGTGCCCACCCAGAAAGATCCTGACCCCTACCTGGGTCATGTGTGTGTTGCAGGGAGGGGATGCTGAAGGGACTCCAGAGCGGGAGAGGGACTGGGGGCTGGTGGTGATTAGGGAGCCAGGGTGGTGGTGCCCAGGGGAGGGGAGAGCCCAGAAGAGTCCATGGAGCCCTCTTGTGCCAGGTGGTGTACTTCACAGCCACGTTCCCCTACGTGGTGCTGACCATTCTGTTTGTCCGTGGAGTGACTCTGGAGGGAGCCTTCACCGGCATCATGTACTACCTAACCCCGCAGTGGGACAAGATCCTGGAGGCCAAGGTGAGAAGTGAGGGAAACCGGAAACCAGAATCGGGCTGGGGAAGGGCCGGGGAGGTGCCTGCCTCTGCCCACAGCTCCTCACCCGCTGGCCCCTCCCTGCAGGTGTGGGGTGATGCCGCCTCCCAGATCTTCTACTCACTGGGCTGCGCGTGGGGAGGCCTCATCACCATGGCTTCCTACAACAAGTTCCACAATAACTGTTACCGGTGAGTGCTCCCTGCCGGGCTGAGGCTGCCCCCTCCCTGCCCTCTCTGCAGCCTGATCCCAGCTCCAGTGCAGCCGTGGGCCCACCAGGCCTCCTTTCCCCTCCTGATCTTGAGGTTCTGGGAATCCTGGTTCTGGATAAAGTTGTTGGAGAATGGGGAGAGAGGCTTAGGCAAAAGAGAGAAGAGAGATGGGGACAGTGATGTCCCAGGGGTCTGTGAGGACTCAGGCAGCTCAGGCTAACTTAAAAATGCCCAGAACAGCCGGGCGCGGTGGCTCACGCCTGTAATCCCAGCACTTTGGGAGGCCGAGGCGGGCGGATCACAAGGTCAGGAGATCGAGACCATGGTGAAACCCCGTCTCTACTAAAAAATAGAAAAAAATTAGCCGGGCGCAGTGGCGGGCGCCTGTAGTCCCAGCTACTCGGGAGGCTGAGGTAGGAGAATGGCGTGAACCCGGGAGGCGGAGCTTGCAGTGAGCCGAGATTGCGCCACTGCACTCCAGCCTGGGCGACAGAGCGAGACTCCGTCTCAAAATCAAAAAAAAAAAAAAAAAAAAAAATGCCCAGAACAGACCAGAAAAGGAAAAAAAAAAAAAAAAAAAAAAAAAAATGCCCAGAACAGACCAGAAAAGGAGTTGGGGGCCAGGCCCAGTGCTTCATGCCATAATCCCAGCAGTTTGAGAGGCCAAGGCGGGAGGATCACTTGAGCCCAGGAATTCAAGACAGGCCTGGGCAACATAGTGAGACCCCATCTTTCTTTATAAAACATAAAAGAAAATTAGCTGGGCGTGGTGGCACACACCTGTAGTCCCAGCTACTTAGGAGGCTGAGGTGGGAGGATTGCTTGAGACCAAGAGGTCAAGGCTACAGTGAGCTGTGATAGCACCATTGCATTCCAGCCTGGGCAACAGAGTGAGACTCTGTCTCCCACCCCCCAAAAAATAGTTGGGGGCGTGCTTGTTCCTAGAACTTTCCCTGTCTCCACGTCTCCCTTGGCCCAAATTGGGGAGAGGGAAGCTGAACTCTCTTTTCCTCCCCATCAGGGACAGCGTCATCATCAGCATCACCAACTGTGCCACCAGCGTCTATGCGGGCTTCGTCATCTTCTCCATCCTCGGCTTCATGGCCAGTCACCTGGGCGTGGATGTGTCCCGCGTGGCAGACCACGGCCCCGGCCTGGCCTTCGTGGCTTACCCTGAGGCCCTCACACTACTTCCCATCTCCCCGCTGTGGTCTCTGCTCTTCTTCTTCATGCTCATCCTGCTGGGGCTGGGCACTCAGGTATGAGGTGCAGGACGTGGACCGGAGGCTTGGGGAAGGGAGGGGACAGGAGCAAGGGGCAGGTCCCCGATCTGACAGCCACATCCTGCAGTTCTGCCTCCTGGAGACGCTGGTCACAGCCATTGTGGATGAGGTGGGGAATGAGTGGATCCTGCAGAAAAAGACCTATGTGACCTTGGGTGTGGCTGTGGCTGGCTTCCTGCTGGGCATCCCCCTCACCAGCCAGGTAAGAGCTGAGTAAGGGAAGGGCTGGCTCAGAGTTGCCAGGACATGCAGGGAAGGGTGGGGGAGCCCAGGCTGCAGGCGCCTCCCACAGCTGCCCACTGTTCCCCAGGCAGGCATCTACTGGCTGCTGCTGATGGACAACTATGCGGCCAGCTTCTCTTTGGTGGTCATCTCCTGCATCATGTGTGTGGCCATCATGTACATCTACGGTGAGCACTTGAGCCTCCGGCCTCCCGTGACCCGGCCCCTGGCCCGCCCACTCTGTCCTGTGGGCCTGCTGACCCCTCCTCTCTCCAGGGCACCGGAACTACTTCCAGGACATCCAGATGATGCTGGGCTTCCCACCGCCCCTCTTCTTTCAGATCTGCTGGCGCTTCGTCTCTCCCGCCATCATCTTCGTGAGTTCCCTGGCCGGCCCCTCCCTTCCCTTGCTGCCCCTTGGCCATGTGTCCATCTCTTGGGACCCAGCGGAGGGAGAGCAGGAGCTCCCACACCTGGCCGGAGCTCCATATCTATGACTCTGGCCTTTGGGAGGCTAAGGGAGGTTGGAGAGAGTCAGAGAGGCGTGTGGTGACTCAGAGCTGCCCAGGCCCTGGCCTCAGGTTAGGAGTGCCACAGCCTGTATTTGACTGCAGACATTGCTCAGGCATTCCTGCCTGGCACCCCAGGGGACTCAGGAGTCAATACGGATAGCGTGTCAGCCTCTGCCTGCTGGCCTCATCTCCCATCCCTCTAGGGAGGGTGTTCCAGGGCCTTGGCTATGTGGTGGGAACCAGTGTTCCAGCAGCAGCCCAAGGCTGGTAGACCAGGCTGTGAAATCAGATGTCAGCTCTGCATGGGGCCAATTTGCAAGCCTTCCAGGCAGTGAGGTGGGCTGGCTTGGGTGGGGGGTGTTCCAGGTTTTATGAATATTCAACAGCTGAGAAATTCCCGTCAGGGAGCTGAATTGGTGGAAGGAATCCACCATGGCAAGGAAGCAGGCACTTTCCACACACCGTTCCCATGTAACCCGTGATGGAGCTCTCCAAGGTGTCACTGTTATCCCCACCTTACAGATGAGGAAACTGAAGCACGGGGATAAGTAATTGGCCCATGGTCACACAGCTAATAAGAGGCAGAGCCACAATTCAAATCAGGTAGTCCAATTCCAAGCCTGGGCCAGCACCACACTAGAAGCACCTCTGCAGGAGGGAGGAATGGTCCAGGGGCTAGAACCGTATGACTTAGCTCCCTCCTGTTTGGGGTGAGATTCGGGGAAGGCAGGTATTGACAGTGTAATGGTCACTCCACAGAGGACAGGCAGGGCCATCTCTGAGTGACAGTGAGAGGGCTGGCCCAGTGGCCCGGGCAGTGTTCAGAGCCACACTCTTGTCATGTTTAATGCCTCAGTGGCACAGGGGGCTCAGCACCGGACTTCCCCTGTGGCTCATGTTTCTGAATAAAGGCCTGTGGAGGGCTGAGGTCTCTACCCCATAGGGTGTGGGATGTTCCCGAGCCTGGCACAGGCTCTCCCTCTGGCCACTGGCCCAGCTTTGAAACAGGAGGAGCGGAAGTGTTGGTGGTGGGAGGCAGGGGAGGGCAGGCACCACCACCCCAGAGTACCATGCCTTCTGGGGCAGTGGCCCAAGGGGAGCTCAGCCTCTGTGGCTCGGAGGGTCTCTCGGCATTCAGACTAGATTGATGTCCTGGGGAGAGACCAGGGAGCACCTGCCAAGGGCAGTGGGGAGGAAGGAGACAAGCACAAAAAGGATCTGTAGGGGCAGCCTTGGCTGGGATCTGGTGTCTCCACAAGATTGAGGCACAGTGGGCGGGGCCCTTCCTGTGCCCAGGAAGCCAGGCCGGAGTTACCTTTAGGGGAGCCTGGAGTCCTCTCCTTGGGGTAACTCCAGCCCGGCTTTCTGGGCTGTTGTGTTTTCTCTGGGGGCTTTCTTTTTTCGTATTTCTGAAAAGCTCTTTTTAACAAACTCCACCCTTCTGTCAGCTCAAATGAGGGATTTGTCCACACATAGGTCAGGATCTGTTCCATTTAGGAAACCTGTTATAAGCTCCCATCGTGTGCAGCATCCCCGGAGGGTCCTCCAGTTTGGATGAGGGTCTTGCATTCTAGAATATGGCCCTGTGCTTCAGGATGGGGCTAGAACCTCAGGAGGATTCTGGGACACCCTCCCACCCAGGCCCTCCGGGTGACCCGCCAGCCACTGCCTGTGTTTCTCCCTCCTTTCACTCCTTTTGTTGCTGCAGCCACAAGTCTTATTTCCAGTCTCACTCATCTCTTTCCAAGGAGGCTTCCTAGAGCACCACAGCCCGACACTCACCATTTCAGCCTGTGGAGCTTCCCCAGGCTGAATGTCCCTGTCCCCACGGCCATAGACAGGCAGGGCTTTGCCCTACCCTCTTTCCATCCTCCTCTGCCTCTCTGTACAAATCAGTTCAAATCAACACAAGAGACTGTGGCAGGCACTGTACTGGGCACTGCACCCCCCGAGTTGATGCAATCCCAGGAGCTCCCAGGTCTATGGGAATATTAAACCAAGCCACTCTAAGGGAAGCAGGTGGAAAACGCCGAGGGGAGGCCCTGCAGGAGGAAATGGGGGAAATCTGGGATGGCTTCTTGAAGGAGAGGGCACTGGCATAGGGTTTGACAGAGGAAGATGCAGAGGATGATTCCCCAGAATAAATGAAGAGAGGATGGGAAACACTGGGTGTGACTGAAACACTGAGGGCGGGGTCGTGTGGCAGGCAAGACAATTTGAGGTCGCACTGCCAGGTGACAGCCTAAAGGTCCAGGATGTGGCCTTACTTCAGTTGGCCAGGGGAAGCCATAGCGAGTCTTTGAGCAGAACTGATTGAATTCCAAAGGCAGCAGCAGCTCGACTGTGCTCGGCCAGTTCAGGACCGTGGCAAAGACAGATTTCCCTCCACAGGGCCTTCCCACCCACGGTGCCCCGGTCCCCTGGCCCTGCCTGCTTCTTCCATGGCCCAGATGTTGACAGCTGTCCCTGTTCTGCCCCAAATGCCCCTTTCTAGTTTGGGAAGCCAGAGAGGAAAGGGTGCTGGTAGAGGGATGGCCTGGGTCTGGGCTCTGGGCCGGCCTCACGCCCACTCCCACACCTGCCCCGTGCAGTTTATTCTAGTTTTCACTGTGATCCAGTACCAGCCAATCACCTACAACCACTACCAGTACCCAGGCTGGGCCGTGGCCATTGGCTTCCTCATGGCTCTGTCCTCCGTCCTCTGCATCCCCCTCTACGCCATGTTCCGGCTCTGCCGCACAGACGGGGACACCCTCCTGCAGGTGAGGGCGGGGGAAGGCTGGGTAGCCAGGTGAAATGGGAGGGGCCAGCTGGAAGGGGCTTAAGGGCTCCCCCTTGACGTGCCCTGCCCCTGTGCCCCATGCCTACCTCATGCAGCGTTTGAAAAATGCCACAAAGCCAAGCAGAGACTGGGGCCCTGCCCTCCTGGAGCACCGGACTGGGCGCTACGCCCCCACCATAATCCCCTCTCCTGATGACGGCTTCGAGGTCCAGCCACTGCACCCGGACAAGGCCCAGATCCCCATTGTGGGCAGTAATGGCTCCAGCCGCCTCCAGGACTCCCGGATATGAGCACAGCTGCCAGGGGAGTGGCCCCACCCCCACCCCGTGCTCCCAACACAGAGACTGGTGAGGCAGAGGTCAGGTGTCTCGCCTGCCCCCTGCCACGCCCTGGCCAGGACGGCTGCTGTCATCTTGGTCACTACTGCTAGTGCAGTCATTCGTGCTCGTGCCCCCAGTGTTTACACGTCCTTTGGATGCCAAGATGGCAGCTGTGGGGAGGGGTGGGAGTGGAGGGTTGCTGGGAGGTCCAAAGCACTTTGGAGGGGTCTCGGGCCAGGTCCCCAGTGGTCTGGGCGGCTTTACATGGCCTCTGATACCCTTATACCCTGCCCTGAGCTGAGGTTCTGGGTGGGCCTCCAGCCCCATGGCTAGTGCTCCTGCCCTCAGAGCAGACCCCAGCCTCTGCCAGGCACATTCGGCTCTTCCTCTCTAGGGGCAGGATGAGGGGCTGGGGGCTGTGCAGTGTTACTTGTCAGGCTGTGCTGCCCAGCCCTGTTTATCTGTGTAATTATTTTTGTAAACGTTGTATTCTCTGTGGTTGCCACCTCCGCAGCCCCAGCCTCGGGTCCAGTCTGTCTTCCAGGCCTGCTTGCACCTCACTGGGCTGCTCCGGGGTCTCTGCCCCTCATTCCAGCCCTGGCTGTCAGGCCCAGCCAGCAGAGGACCGTGACCCAGCAGCCTGCCCAAAGCATTTGTTTCTGGGGGATGGGGTGGGGGCTGCTCCACAGGAGGTTTGAGCCCAGCGTCCCAGGGAAGGGGACCCTGCACGACACCCCCTTGCCCTTCCTCCATCAGGCTAAAGGCCCAGTCTTCCCAAATGTGCTGCCCTTGTTCATGTGCCAAATGGCCCCAGCCCACATGCCCCTCCCCTCTCCGGAGCGGGAGCTCCTTCTGAAGTGTCTGAATCCCTGAAGTGTCCATTTGTCCGTCCTCTGTGCAGTGACAGCCCCGGCCAAGCCACCTCTAATCCTCTGTAGCAATAACGGTGCGCCGCCCATCCCTGCCCATCGTGCACCACTAAGATTTTAAAGTCCATAGATTTTAATGAAATTTCTATTCCTGTCTCTGAGCGGCTGTTGTGCTTTGTCTGGGTCCCCCAGGGGACAAGAGTCAGGCTGGAATGGGACCTCTGTCTGCCAGGCCTTTGTGGAGGCCTGGGAGGAGAAAGACCAAAGGCTTTGATGATTGGGACCGATGCCCGGCCACTCAGCTCTAGACACCAGGGATCTGGCAAGGGGGTGGGGCAAAGGCCAGACAGACCAACAGCCTTGGGGTCCTGGCGAGAGCTCATCTAAGACCGATGGGCCAAAGCAGCTGAGGCAGCAGTGGCAGACGGGTGCGTCCTGGCAGAAGCCAGAGCCTACTCGGTGACCAGCCCTTCAGGCTGGGGCCTGGGATGCTGCACTGGACATGGGCGTGGAAGCTGACCCTTCCCTGGGGCTGTACTGAAGCTGCCGTCCCCAGCGGCGGGTAGCGGCCTGGCCTCGAGGTCGAAGGCAAGGCTCCAGAGGAGGTGCAGGCAGGCAGCACTGGAGAGGTGCAACCCCACAGAGAGGAAGCAGGGGTCTGAGGCCCTTCGTGGAGGACCCCAAGGGCCACTGCCTGGACAGAAAGGAGTAAGTGTGGGGGGTGGTAGTCTGATCCTTCAGTCCACCCTGCCCTGTGTCTACTGTTGTGGTTTACCTGTAGTTGGGAGAGACACAAGAAGGCCCCACAGGTGCCTGCAGCTCCTGCTCCATGGCCTTCTTCTGTTCCTTTAGCTCTGAAGGAGAGATTCAGCTGAGCCAGTGCCCAGCTCTTCTAGGGTGTGTACAAGTGCAGGGTGGGAGCAGGAGGCTGGGTGTTCTGGGCCCTGATCTGTGTCCTCACCTGCCAGGGTGGGCTCCAGGGCTGCCTCCGAGGGGTGGCAAGGCCTCATATACTCCTCTTCCAGGCAGCGCTGCAGGGAGAGGCAGGGAGAGCTGTGTCAGTGCCCAGACTCAAGGTAGGGGTGGGGCAAGGCAGGAACAGAGGCCTAGATCCCTAGGGCATGCCCATGTACCCCCTTCAGCCCATCCACCATGAGGGCAGCCATGTTCCCCAGGGAATACCAGCCTTGCAGAAGAGCTGAGTTTGGCAAGATAAGGGTGGGGCCTGTGCCCAGACTCAGGTAAAGGAAGGACGCAAAAGACCTAAAACAGTTGGCCCTGGCCTTAAGGGCTCAATTAGAATCCTGGGCCTCTAGGATTTTGCAGGTGCACACAAGCATGTATCCCTGAGAAACGGCTGCAGGACTCTCACAGCCTGTACACGCACCTATGGTGAGAAGCATTGAGTGTCTATGCTCAGCAGTGAGGCTTGGGGGAGAGCCCAGGGCTGCGGCTCACCTGCAGGATGGGGATCTCCCTCTCCAAGGTGTGACACTCCTCCTCCAGAAGGCCCCTGGGACATGAGGGAGTAGCAGCCAGAACCCAAGACATAGGACCAGGGCTCAGCTGAGTCCACCACATGGCCCCAACCTCCAGCCTCAGCAGGAGCCCCACCCAACCTGTCCTTCCTCAGCCCACACTGCCCTCTGCTTCTTGGTGGGCTGCCCCAGCATAGGCTTCTGGCCCCCACAAGGCTCTTTCTGGGCAGGAAGTGTCTTCCCCTCACCTACCTCACCCTGGCAGGCATCCTTCTCTCTCCTGCACTTCTGCACTGTGATTCTACTTGCCTCCATCTTCCCTCACATCACAGCCCTTCCTCTGCTTAAAATCCTCTGTGGCTACCCCCAGTGTCAAGATACTTATATTTATTTTTAAAACAGGGTCTTGCTCTGCCACCCATCATGACTCACTGTAGCCTTGCCTTCCAGGGCTCAATCAATCCCCTCTCACCTCAGCCTCCCAAGTAGCTGGTACAGGCGTGCACCACCATGCCCAGCTGGTTTTTGTATGTTTTGATAGAGATGGGGTTTTGCCATGTTGTCCAAGCTGGTTTTGAACTCCTGAGCCCAAATGATCCTCTTGCCTCAGCCTCCCAAATTGCTGAGATTATAGGCAGGCTCGGCCATGGCATCTGTACTTGGCTGCTTCCTGAAAGCAACCTCACTTGCTCTACAGCAGCCAGCTCTTTCCACCTCTCAGTCTGACACACATGGGTCTCCCCACCCAGTATGTTACCTTCCTCCTCTCTCACAATCCCAGCATGCCAAGATCCATCCCTGTCTCCACCCCTGCCTACACACATGCAGGTGCCCCTGGGCCTCACCTCAGGTGTCTGGCCACCTGGTCAATGTTGGACATGTTCAGTTGGTCCTTGATGATGCTGAGATCTCTGTGACTGCTGCTGGCAATGAAGTCACTATCACTCTCCCCATGTTGCTCACCCCAGGCCTTCAGGACCCAAACATCACTTCTCCTAGACAACTGTCTTTCCTTTCTCACAAAAACAATATAATATAGTGCAAAGAGTAAGAGTTTGGGAGCCTAGTTTTGCAAATGAGCTCTGCCACCCTTCATTGTGTGTGACTTCAGACAAAGCACTTATCCCTTCTGAGCTTTAGTTTCTTTTCTCTTTGTTTTTTTTGTTTTTTTGAGACAAGATTGTGCTCTGTTGCTCAGGCTGGAGTGCAGTAGCACCATCTTGGCTCACTGCAGCCTTGACCTCCCAGGCTCAAGTGCTCTTCCCACATCAGCCTCCTGAGTAGCTGGGACTATAGGTGTGCACCACCACACCTGTTCAATTTTTTGCACAAACGGGGTCTCACTATGTTGCCCAGGCTTCTTCTTCTTTTTTTTTTTTTTTAGAGACAGGGTCTTTGTCACCCAGGTTGGAGTGCACAGGTGCAATCATAGCTCACTGAAGCCCCAAATTCCTGAGCTCAAGCAATTATCCCACCTCAGCCTCCCAAGTAGCTGGGAATCCAGGCATATGCCACCACGCCTAATTTTTTTTTTTCACTTTTTGTAAAGATGTGTTGCCTGTGTTGCCCAGGCTGATCTCAAACTCCTGGCCTCAAGCCATCCTCCTGCCTCAGCCTCCCAAAGTCCTGGGATTACAGGTATGAGCCACTATGCCCGGCCTTTAATTTTTTATTGTGCAAAGTGCAGACTTTGCCCACCTAGGCTGTGTGAGGATTAGAAAAAGAAGTTTCTGCCATCCACTTATGAATATTTTATCTCATTCAGTCCCAGCTGTAAATACCATTTGTAGCCATCCTTTTCAGCTCTCCTTGCCTCCCTAACCCAGCCCTCACTCCTGTTCTCTAGGCCAGAGGAGCAATCGCCTGCTGGACTTTCTTCCCTTTTCCTACAAAGCTCTTCTCTCTTTCATCTCCCTGAAAACTGCTCCTCATACGACAACAGGCAGATCAAACCACTTTCTCCAGGAAGCTTTGCCTGTCCCCAGGCTAGGCAGGTATTTCCTCTGGGTTTCGGCAGCCCTCATGTGCTGATCTCTATCACAAGTGGTGGTGGAAGTGCCCAGCCCGTGACTGGAACCTCCTGCATGGAGCCAGGTGCAACCCACCAGTTGGCTAGGGCCCTCTGCCAAGCAGGGACAGATCCCTCTCTCCTACCATCACCTTACCTGGGCCCACCATCTCTCATCTGGAATATCTCCTGTTCTGGCAAATCACACCTGGGCTCCTCCAAGGCAAAGTGCAGGACCCTGGGGCTATACTGGACCCAAGCTTGGGCCTGGTCCCTGCAGAAGGTGCACAGGAAGGAAGATGAGAGACTTCTTTCTGGAAACCACAGAAAAGGCAACCCTGGCTCTTTGTTAGGGGCAGGGCTAGCCCACCTGGTATCTGGGGAAAGGACCCAGGCCTGAGGCTCCCACCTGCCCTCACAGATGGCTTTGTGGCGGAGACCCTGGAGCAACTGCCGGAGTTCCTGGCGCAAGAGGTGCTTCAGGAGAAGCGGTGGTGCCAGAAGAGAAGAGGGGTCAGAGATGGGGCGGGAGCTGGGAGCTTGAGAGGATCGAGCCTCTTGGAGCAGTGCCCGTAACATCGCCACCTGCAAGGAGAGCTGGGATACCTTGCGACTGGGGAGGGGAGTGACCGGAATGGTGGGGGCTGGGGGAGTGAGGGAGAGGACAAAGGGGAGAGGGCCAGGACAGTGAGACCCAATCGGATCTCGGGAGTTCCCCGGCAGGGGCAGGGACCCGCAGGAGGTGGGAAATCACACCCAGGGGCGTGGCCCACCTTCCCTCTCCCCACCTCCGCCCGCAGCTCCAGGCTCAGGTCCACCGCCGCCTCCCCCAGAATCCTCTTCACTTCGGGTCGCTCCCGGAGCGGAATGTGCTCCTCCACCAGCTCCCACAGCGAGGGGGAGTGCCGAAGCATGACCCACCCGCGCCGCCGTCCCCAGCTCGGACCTACAGGCCGCAGGTCAGAGTGCGGGAGGTACCGCGGGCCCGCCGGCAACGCTCACCAACCCCCGCCCCTCTATGAGGCCCGCCCTCTCCCAAGCCCCACCCATGCTCTGCCGCCGGTCCCCTCAGCTGGGATTGCCCCGTCCAGAACCGCCATTCCTTGGCGCGCTCTTCTGCCAGGCTTTTGGCCAACTCGTATGCCGCGGGCCCAGAAGCCAGGCAGTGGGAACCAGCGCCCTAGCCCCACCTCTTCCGCGTGGCCATCACCGGGGAAACCACGCCGCGACTCTAGGCCCCGCCCCCTCCCGCGTGTGGTCTGGCGGCGGCGCATGCAGGCTGGGAGTTAGACTTATCTTAGTGCTCCACCGAGCCCTGACCCCAAGCACTTTGAGCTCGGCCCTGGGCACCTTTAGGCCTCAGGGAACGTGTTAAGACCTGAGAAATCTGGGTCCACGGGTTTATTACTTCGTCGCCTCCACTGGCTCGGAAGCAGTGCAAGGACAAACTTCCCCTTAAGGCCAATGGAAGCCTAGGGAGTGGCAGCGTTCCGAGAACCAGGATGGCCCGGATCAGGTTTACTTGTTGGGCCAAGTACCCCAAGTGCCCTTCCACCACAACACACTCAGGGTAACCATGTTCAGGGACCTGACCCCCACCCCCAGACATGGGAGCTGCTCCATTCACGTTTTTTACTAAAGCACCCACACAAGTTTCTGTGCAACGTACAAACACGAGCCGGCCCTGGGGCTCCTGCCTCCTCTCAGACAGGGAGGCGGGAACCAGACTTACTGATCCAAGCCCCACCTGCCTCCCATGCAAAGGCCAACCCCAAGATCCCAGGCAGCGACACAGCATCCCCTCTGGTCCCCTCCTGGGGCAGCTCCTCAGCAGGGGGCGCACCAAAGCTTGCCCCCTACAATGTTGAATGAAAAAGGTTTCCCCTCCCCTGGGAGCAAGGGGGTTCCCAAGAGCTGAGAATTCCCCCTGGAAGAGACACTGCCCCCTAGACATACCTCCCACCCTTCCAGGCCCTAGGGGACTCAAGGGGGGAAACTGAGGCACAGAGAGGTGGAGTGACCTAGCCCAGGCCACTCCGCGAGGCAGTGCAGGGGCTGGCCCGACCCTGACAGTGACTGGGGCTGGGCTAGGGGGAGGGGGTCAGGAAGGAGGGTTGACTCCAAAGAGGGCCACACTTGAAGAGCCTGCCCAGGCAGGAGGCCCCCAAAGTGGGTTCTGAAACTTCCAGGTATAGCTAGGGGGCCTATTGAAGACCCTCAGAAAACAAAGCCCACAGTCTCAGTCCTGGAGGTCCTCCACAGAGCAGCTGCCAGCCAGGCTGTGGTCAGTCCTCTGGCAGGCAATCCTCGGCACCGAGAGCCTCTGTCCATTAGTGTCAGCCCCGAGGGGGCCACGACGGGGGCCGCCCAATGTCCACTGTGATATTGGTGAAGAGTGGTTGCCGAGACACCTCCAAGACCTGGTACCGCACTGACCCAATGCCGTCCCGCTTCATGGTCAGCTTCGTGTTTTGAATCTTGGTAAACCTAGATAGGATGGAAATGGTCTGTATCAGGGCTAACAACTGTAAACTACAAAAATAAAATCCTACACCCCCCAATCAACTAAATGGACCCCCTTTTGGCCAAGGGGACCCCAGAGAAACCTTAAAAACAGGGTTTCCAGCCATGATGGGAAGGGACGTCAAACATGCCTTGCTATACCCACTCCCTTTTGCAGTTTAGACACAACAAATGACCAGGATTAACGTCAAAGCAGAGATCACAAGACTGACAGAATGCATTCTTTGTGTCAATAAGATACCTAATTATAAATAGGATCTAAGGCCAGCCAGGCAAGGGTTAAGTCATGCACCTTTGCACTTAAAGAGACTATGGTCTAACTGTCGCAAGGATTTTCTTTTTCTGTAGCAGCTAAACAAGTACTGGACTTGAGATAACCAATATTAAAACAATTTGCATAATGTGGTAATTTATTAAAGCTAAAAATAATAGAAAAAAATTTGCAGCTCACCCACTGCCAGATGCTGACCCCTACACCCCTGTTCCACAAGCCATAACTATAGCTTTGGTGGGACAAGAGACTGATTTCAGTAACTTTCTCCTGATAAGACCATTGGCTGTGAACTGGTTCTAGCCAGTTTACAGAGGCTGCACACTTGAGTACTTTTGTCTTTTTAAGGTATAGGGCCTAACTGCAATACATTTAAATATTGTCTCCACCCCAAAGTCAACATGGATGATATATAACATGCATGTTTGTTCAATATGCATATGTCAGGACCCCCTGAATTAATATTCATAGCTCCTCCAATAACCTATTGACCAATCCATTCAACTAAAATTCCTATCTCACTCCTCCCTCCCTCGAAGTGCCTGTTAAGGCTTTGGCTGGAGGCTCTGCTTCCTAGCCAGTGGGATGGCCAGCCTGCAGGTTGTCACCCTTTATAAAGGAGAAATAAAGTCTCCTTTTCAAATTTGATATAGTGATTTTTTTTTTTTTTTTTTTTTTTTTTTTGAGACAGAGTGCAATGGCGCCATCTCAGCTCACTGCAACCTCCGCCTCCCAGGTTCAAGCAATTCTCCTGCCTCAGCCTTCCGAGTAGCTAGGATTACAGATGCCTGCCACTGCACCCAGCTAATTTTTGTATTTTTAGTAGAGATGGGGTTTCACCATGTTGGTCAGGCTGGTCTCAAACTCCTAACCTCAGATGATCCGCCCACCTTGACCTCCCAAAGTGCTGGGATTATAGGTGTGAGCCACCTCATCCAACTGATCTAGTGATTTTTAAGTTACCACCACCAAACCCAGTATGGGATCTCTGTGGCCTAAGCTTAAGCCATCCTGGCTCCTTCCAGGGTTGACTTCGCAGGAGCCCTTCTGCTCTTGCTTTGGCCCTCAAAACAGAGATCTCACCTGCTTCAGTCAGAAAACAGAAGTCTGACACCCTCACAAATCTCTCAGCTCAGACTTTTTTTTTTTTTTTTAAAGACAAGAGTCTTGCTCTGTTGCCCATGCTGAAGTACAGTGGCGCAATCTCAGCTCACTGCAACCTCTGCCTCTTGGGTTCAAGCGACTCTCCTGCCTCAGCCTCCTGAGTAGCTGAGAAAACAGGTGCACACCACCATGTCCGGCTTTTTGTTTTGTTTTGGTTTTTTGAGATGGAGTCTTGCTCTGTTGCCTAGGATGGGAGTGCAGTGGTGCGATCTCAGCTCACTGCAACCTCTGCCTCCTGGGTTCAAGAGGTTGCCTCTCAACCTCCTGCCTCAGTCTCCAGAGTAGGTGGGATTACAGTTTCTCGCCACCATGCCCAGCTAATTTTTTTGGTATTTTTAGCAAAGATGGGGTTCACCATTTTGGCCAGACTGGTCTCAAACTACTGACTTCAGGTGATCTGCCCACATTGGCCTCCCAAAGTGCAGGGATTACAGGCATGAGCCACCGTGCCCAGTCTTTTTTTTTTTTTTTGTATTTTTAGTAGACACAAGGTTTCACTATGTTGGCCATGCTGGTCTCGAACTCCTGACCTCAAGTGATCTGCCTGCCTTGGCCTCCCAAAGTGCTGGGATTACAGGCACAAGCCAGTGTGAGGTCAGCTCAGACCTTTCTATGCCTGAGACCAGGCATCCTACAGGCATCTCAAGCGCAATCAGATGCATCATTTTTACTCCCCACGCCTGTGCCATTTTCTCTGTTCCTCATTCTTTAGTGACTCTTTCGCCAGCTATTTATTGAGCACCACCACGTGCCAGGCTGTGCTCTAAGCACCAAGGCTACCGCCATAGCCATGACAGGTGGGGTCCTTCCTCTCAGGGCAAGTTGGCTTCTCTAGGGGAGGCAGGTAACAGAGAAAACATCGGAGTGCTAAGAGAGACAAGAGGGCATATGTGACATTGAGCTGAGGACAGGAACAGAGCACTCCAGGCAGAGGTCAGAGCACATGCTGACCCTAAATTGGGAAGATTTTGCACAGCTGAGTGGCTAAACCTGAATGGGACACCTGGAAAAGCAGAATATTAGCCTGAAGGTTCAGTCACACTGTGCAAGGGCAGGGCTCTAAGTCAGAGTGAGCAGTTCATATTTTCATTCTCACAGAATGAAATGTGTAAAGGCTCTAAGAAATGTTTAACCCAGTTTGGGGGGCAAGCCATAAACAGGGAAACCAGTTAGAGGCCACTGCAGTAGTCCAGGCAGGATCCCAGAGGTTGAACTAGTGTAAAGGTAGTAAAGGGGGAAAGCAAGTGGACTCAAATGTTTTAGGGGTGGCAGTGATACAACTTGCTGATGGATTTGGATATGTAGGGTGAGGAAAAGAATAATCCAGAACTCCCGGATTTTAGGCAACAGCAACTACGTAGAGAGAGTTCACAGAGTTTGTGAACTCTGAATTTGGTATCAGGTTGGCTGGGAGAAGGGCCTACAGGGTTTGTGAAATGTAAACAAGAGCTTCCTGACGCTGCTCTGTGACTCGTGCTAAATTTTCTGGGGGTGGGAGACTCAGAGTAGTCATACCCAATCCGTGAACCCAACATTCACAGAGTTCTTTAAGCCAGAAACTTCTTGCTATCTTGCCGCCTCTACAACCAAGCCAGACATGTGTAATTGATGGTGGCACCCAGGCAGGCTACTCCTGAAACAGGACCAAGGCTCCTGGCATGTACTGTGGAGCTCCACTCCTCCCCCCGATGCCCTGAAGCCCCTCTTCTCTTGGTCTCTTACCCGTTTCCTGCTGACCAGAACTGCTTTTTCATCAGCTCCCTGCACTCCCCAGTGCCTCATGCTTCTCTGAGGCGCCAACCCCACACCAGGGCTACAAACCACCTCCCCCACTCCTACCCCGTGTTCAGAGTAGAAAAACCCTCCTGCTCAAGCTGGAGACACAGCATCTCCATCCCCAGACCCTGTCCCACCATGCTCCCTTGGACTCCTTAGATTCCTTCAGGCCGGGCTGACTCTCTCCTGCTCCACCCAGCGGCTATGCCAGGCTTTCGCCTTCCTAAAGCTCAAACAGTGTGCCTTCCAAACACAAACCCCGCCCCTCCCTGCTTCAGGTTCTTCCATGACTCCCCAGTCCTCTGGGACAAAAGTTAAACTCCCATCTGGTATTCAAGACCCCTGACACTTACATGGTGAAAGGGCAACAGAAGAAAAACCCCTAACATCCAGACCTGACTTTCCCTCCGCCCCACTGTCACTATCAGCCTTCAGAGATCTTAAAACCAAATAGCTTCAGACTCTCGGCATGTATCATACACGTTCACATTCCAGACTCTTCCGGATATGATTCCCCTTATCCAGGCTGGTTTCCTGGGGAATGTAACACTGTGCCCAAGGTAGGCGTGAGGCAAATCTTCGTTAAATGAGTAACTGTTTCAAACTCCAGTTTACCATCGCCTCCTCCAGGAAGCCTTCCATCACCAATCCCTCTTCTGCCAAGAGAACACCTTGATCACCTTGTGCTGTAACTGCCTGTTTCCATAACTATTTCCCTGCCTAGAATGAACTTTGTAAGGAAAAGCACAGATTGGGTATGACTACTCTGGGTCTCCCATCCCCAGAAAGTTTAGCACAAGTCACAGAGCAGCCTCAAGAAGCCCAGGAAGCCCTTGTTTACATTTCACACACCCTTTAGGCCCTTCTCCCAGCCAGCCTGATACCAAATGTGGCTACCTCCTAAGAGATACACCCACCTCCTTCAATTTCAGAGGGGTGGGCATTGTGTTTCCACACCTCCTTCCCATCCTGCTCAAGTCCCTTGTCGGGTCCACAGGAGCTGTGCCCAGCACCCACTGGCTCTTGTCCTATCTGTCCCAGCAGGGGTCCCACAGGTGCACAAGTGAGGTCTGCGAGGGCACCAACAGGAATGCAATCTACTCAATTACTATTTAGGCCCTGACATTAAATTCTAGTCACCTCTAGGAATCAGGCCAGGGGTAAGTGATATTGGGCTGAGGCTGGGCTGGGGGTTGGGGGACAACGATCAGGGGTACCAGCAGTCACCTCTAGGACTCAAGGGCCTTGGATCACCTCAGGGAATCAGTGGCACTGGGAGTCACCTCTTTGGAGTCAAGGATGCTTGGAGATCCCCCACTGGGGGGTCAGGCATTGGGCAACTTGGGGTTAAGAGCTGGGGATATTGGGAAGTTGCCTCTGGGGAGTAAGGGGTGAGGGTGCTGGGGTTACCTCTGGGGAGTAAGGGGTGAGGGTGCTGGGGTCACCTCTGGGGAGTAAGGGTGAGGGGTGCTGGGGTCACCTCTGAGGGTTGGGTTCGTTATGCTTGTCGCGGTCGTGCTTGATCATGCGGTAGCGGCCGATTCGGATGTCTGGGCGTGAGATCTTCATCCCAGTGAGGGAGATCCTGAGGATAGGGATGGACAGACTGGAACAGGCCCCAGGAAGGGCAAGGAACCCCACCCAGTCTGTACCTCACCCCCCACCCACCCAGCCTATTCCCCACCCTGTGCTTACTCACCGGTTGAAGATGTCATCATCCTCGCCACCCCAGCCCCAGTACTCGTTGGGGAAGCCATTGATTCTCAGAAACTGAGCCTTACTCAGGCCTGACACACCTCCAAAGTAGCCAGCATAGGGCAGCCTGTGGCATGGGAAGTCAGGTGTCAGTAAGGGTCCCAAGGAGACTCCAGGGGAAGAACCAGAGACTGGGTTGGGGGGACCCAGAGACTGGTTGTCCAATGGGGTCCACGGAGGATCCAGCCTCGCCAGTGGGGTCTGGGCTGGGGCCAGGAGCAAGCGGGGCCCTGGGGCTAGAAGTGGGTCTGTGTCTGGTGGGGGCAGGAGGGCTGGGTCTAGTTGAGAAGACAGCCCTCACCGGAAGCCAAACTTGTCCATGGCAATGGCAAAGTGGCGGGGTTGGTCGCCGCAGCGGTATAGGTTGCGGTCATCCATGGGGACCAGGTCCACATCACTGAAGATGAAGCAGTCATAGGCGGCATCCTCCTTCAGCGCCTCTAGGAAGCCCACGTTGAGCAGCTTGGCCCGGTTGAAGGTGTCCTCACCATGCTGGGTGAGGGGAGGAGCAGGTCAGCTCTGGGCCTGTGACCAGCAAGCACCTGCCCTTTGCCACTCTCCAGAGCAGTCTGTGGGGATTTACCAGCCCCCTCACTGCCTGGCTCCTCCAGGCTCTCAAGATCTAGTCCAGCTTCTCGACCGGGATCTGGCCTGCAAAGGCCTTTCATATGTGGCTCCAACCTCCTCTCTGGCCACTGCCCTCATATCCTGAGGCCCAGCCACACAACATCCCTCAGCAGCCCCAGAATATGCCAGACTCTTCCTTGCCTCCAGGCCTTGGGGTTAGCAGTACCTGTGCTTGTCACACTCAGGGCTGGAGCGGCTCCCCTGACCAAACTTCCCCACCCCAGTACACTTATTCCCTCCTTCCCGTGGGCTTCCTTTATGCCAATACCCAATGACAACGATGGGTGGAGTTCTCATCTCACTCGCTCATTCAAACACGCCCTGTGGCTCTCTCTCCTTTGTGCTAGTGGGGATTCCGGAGATGGCCAGCCCTGGTCCCACTCCTGCTGTGTATACAGTCATGCAGTGAGACAAACAACGAATGCCCCAAATGACCAGTGTCTAAGATGCAGGAGCCATGGGGACTGCAGCAGGAGCCTCAGGCTCCCTGGAGCTGCATCCAGCTGCCTGGGCAGCCTCTGAGACCAGGACACGTCTGGGCTAGATTCACTTCTCTCTCCAACAAAATGACAAGCAGAGGGCCTACAGGCAGTCACAGCCCAGTGAGTCTGGGGTCCCCTGAGAATTGGCGCTGCAGGAGTCCAGGCCATGCAGGCCTAAGCACCAAACTCTGGACTAGCAGAGAGCATTCAATGGGAGGAGCTGACCCCTGAGCCCCTGCCCCAACAAACAGCCTCCAGGCTAGAGCCAGAAAGGTTCCTGGAGAGGGGCCGGTGAGTGGCCTTTCTGGAATGAGTGGAGAGAAAGGCCCTCCTCTCCACCAGCAAAGCCACTGCTGGAAGAGGTGGGAGCTGCTCCCCTCTGGAACCCTGACCTGCCCAACCCCGCCGGCTCTCTTCCCTCCCTCTCCTGCACCTCCTCTTCTCCCCGCCCTTGGAGAGACCGTCACTTTCCTCCCAGCTCATCAGCACTCCTCCTGACCTCTCACCAGCCAGGAGCCCTGTGTCTCTCCCACATGGCTCATAAACATGCTCAATCCTCTCCCATCTGAAAAAACAAACCTCCCTCCAGCCACCATCCTACCTTTTGCCTTCCCTTCTCAGCAGGAATTTTTTTTTTAAAGAGTTGTCTCTAATTGGTTACTTCCATTTCGTCAAATCCGATTCCTTCTTCAACCCACTGCAATCTGCTTCCGCCCCCACCATGCCCCTGAAATGGCTCTCGCTGGGCCCACCTTGTTGCTAAATCCACTGGACGAGTCTTGGTCCACATCCCTCCTCACACCCCCACAGTGCCCATGCAGCTGCCATGTCTCCTTCCTGACACTGACTGCTGGGTTTCCGGGATCCCACACTCCCCTAGGTCTCCTCCGGCCCTTCTGGCCAAGCCTCTCAGCCTCTGTAGTGGCCTCTTTCTCCCTCCATCCCTGAAGTGCTGGCTTCCTCCTCTCATGCCCCTTGCTACCTGGCAGGTCAGACGTTGTTGGTTTTAGGGACCAGACCGTCTACATCCTGGTGCTCCCAGATCCCTCTCTCCACTGCAGACCTCCCTTCTGGGTCCAGACTCATTTGTCTAACTGCCTGCTAAACATGTACTTCCCACAGGCACTCAAACTCATCACACGCAAGAAAGGATTCAGAGTCACACTCCCCCAGAACTGGCCCAGCTCCTGTGTCCCCATCTCACTCACAGGCACAGCCATCCCCACAGCCAACAGCCGAGGCGGAAACCCTTGCGCTGTCCTGACGTCGCTCTTTTCTAACTCTCCACTACTTGCGCAACATCCCCACTTCTTCCCCGAGACTCCCGCCCCACTCATCCGCAGGGTCACCGCCTCTCTCCTAGGTATTGTCCTCTCTTCCAGACGGGCCACCCTGCCTCTAATCTCCCCTTTCCATCCATGCTCGATATGCAACCAGAGCAACCTTTCTACAAGGCAAACACGCAAGTCACTCTCCCCTTACAACCTTACATGGTGCCCTGCCACCTTTGCGCTGGACTTACTGCCAGCATGCCTCCCAAGACACTTCTCAGTTTGACCTCCAACTCCTCCAGCCTCATCTTTGCTACCCAGCCCACATGCTGGACATACAGTCCACACCTCAGCCAATAAATGGTGAACACAAGGCCAGTTCTCTCACTGGGCCTGCATCCTCCAGGTCCCTCTGCCTAGAATACTGGCTTCTCTAGACTCTGATGCCTATTCATCCCTCAAGACCCATCTCAGCAACTGCTTCCCAACCCCAGGGCTGGGCCAGGGCCCTCTGTGCTCCCACGGCCCCCTGCTCCACCTCCACTTGCACCCCATCATACAGGAGGGACCCAAGTCCAAGACTACGAGGTCTCTGTGGTCGGGGGGTGGGGGGGACCTGCATCAGAAGTCCCTTCTGGGACCCAGTGGCCAGTCCTAGCCAGGCCCACCAAAAGCCTTAAGATGCTGAGCTGAGTGCCCTGGCCTCCACTGTGGCTGGCACCTACCCCAAAGGGTTCTGCAGGCTTCACCCTTCTTTCAGGGTCTAACTCCCTCTCCTCAGGGCCCTCAACACCTCCTCCTACAGCATACCCTAGGCCTGCACCACCATGGGGTGAGGCCTGCCAAGGCTAGAGAGTGGGGCTCAACCCCTTCTGAGACCATGCACACCCCTGCCAGTGTGCATGCCAACACTCACATGCACACACTGTGTGCACACATTCCTGTGCACACTGACAAACACAGACTACCCATGCCCAGGTACATCCACATATCCACATGGCCATGGGCAGACAAGGACCCACAAATGCCCCAACCCACATATACACCAACAGGCACATGGGCCCCCACATGGGCACCTGGTTGATGACATAGACACCGTAGCGCAGCCGCTGCCGCCTCAAGATGGGGTGTAGATAGTGGAGCCAGTAGCGCAGGTGGTGTTCCCGGTGTCTAAAGGGGATGATGACCGCCACCGTCTGGGCTGGGGTGCAGTCGGGCGGTGTGTATCGGCCACCCATGAGCACGCCTGGGTTCTCCCTCTGCACCCGCTCCAGGGGCATGGGTGAGGTGAACTCGATCAGCAGTCTGCCCACTGCAGGCAGGACAGTGTCAGGAATCAGGCCAGAATCCACAGATACCAGCCCCCACCCTCAGCCTGGGGGTGGGCTAGGGAACCCCAAGAATAGCCCTCTTACAACAGACCTGGACCCTTGGCACCCCCATGGGTCCGGATGCCATTTCTCTAGTCAAATCAATAAAACACTGTTTCCCCACAGGCAGGCCCTACCCTCCAGGCTCACCAAGACCAGGTGGCGAGTCAGGACAGGGTGGCAGCATAGGAGCCGTGGGACCGGGCCGGGCACTGGGGACCTCAGGGAGCCCGGAGCTAGAGGCGGTGGCGTTGGGCCGGGAGCAGTTGCTGCTGCTGCTGCTGCTGGCAGCTGGGTGGAGAGCACGGGCAGGGCCTCGGGCACTGAAGCGGCTGAAGAAGGCCAGGTGCTGGGCGTAGACGTCAAAGTAGAGGATGACGGCCACGAGGAAGTGCAGCAGGCAGAGAAGGAGCACAGCCTTGCAGACGCGCTCCAGCGTCCCCCCCAGCAGTCTGCTCATCCCGCAGGCGGCCGCTGGCCCGCCCAGTGGGCCCGCGCATCCGGCTGCCGGCCTGAGCAGGGTGGGAGGGAAACAGATCCAGCAGGTCAGGGCAGGACAAGCAAGGCTGCCCACCTACCTCCCACCCAGCTGCCCACAGTCGCAGGCCATACCTCACACTGACCTGCTCATACCCTTTCCCACTCACAGACTCACGGACTTACCTGCAGACACCCAGGCACAGTTCCCGGCAACTCAATACTCACATCCTCAAGCACACCCCACTACTTACTAAGTCACATACAATTACCTTCCTCCACCTCACTGACACACACACTCAGGCACTCACCCTTATTGCACAACTCTACACACACACTCACGCATTCCCAGGAACACAGACATGTGAACTCTGACCACACTGGTTTGTACCTAAGCATGGAGACATGTTTACCTATAGACCCCCATGTGCCCTGGTGCCTCTGAGAACAGACACCCCACAGGGCAGCATCCTTAACCCAGAACTCATGGCTTTGGGAAGAGGGAAGAGACGGAATACTGTGCACCTACCGTGGAGGAGCACCTTATACTCATGACTGCATTTAGTCCTTCCAGGAGCCATGGTGGGAAGTGGTTTGGTCATTCAGATCCCAGGCCAGGCCAACTGGGACCAGGCTGGGAAGTTGCCCTCAGCATCCGGGGGGCCCAAATACAGACTGGATGTTTACAGAATCCCTTCCCACTGGAGCAAAACGTCAAAATATGGGGCGGGGCAGGGGACACCCCTCGCTTAGACCTCAAAGCCAGCCCCTTGGGACTGGGACCAAGACTCTGGGCCCTGTCCAGCACAGCTGGTTCTGATTCCCGGAACGGGATGCTTGGGCCTGGGGAGACGGGCACAGCACTGGGCATGGCAGGAAGGGGTCTTGCCTGGGTGACGGCTCCAGCTGTGGTTCCAAGAGAGCAGCAGCCAGTGCTTCAGGGAGCAGGGCGAGTCTCACAGGCACACAGAATCACAGGGACACCCTGGCCCCAGCTAGTCACCCACACTCAGACACACAGAGAACTACAGTCACAGACACACCCGGGTGACAGTAACACGCGAAGTTCCACACTCACAAACAAAGCCACTGCTCCTGGACTTCCACAGCCATACATCCAGGCTCCCAGGCCGCTCACATCCAGACCCACGTGCAGACATTCCCACTCTCCCTCCAGCGCAGGGGTTCTGGGTCAGGCTGGTGGCCAGGCTGAGGGGTGCGTTTGGGCGGGGCTGGCAGGCTGAACACGTGGCACCCGGGGAGGGGCAGGCCGCACAGACCGGGTAGGTGTGGAGCCTGGGGGCAGGGGGAGTGGGTGGAGGGCAGGGGACGAGGCAAAGGCCAAGGGGAAACGTGTATGGAACGCCTCCCCGCGCCACGAGGCCGGGGCGAGCGAGGACAATGAGGGAGGCCGGCTGGACGCTGGCGGAGGAGCCCAGGAGGGGCGCCGGGGTGGGGGCAGCCAGGCCAGGGTCTGGCCGCCGGCGCCTCTCTCACCGGCTCCTCGGTTGGGATCTCCGGGCCGCGCCCGGGGTGCCCCTCGCGGGGCTGGGTCTGGAATCTCGGGGCCCTGGGTGGGGGCCGCGCGCGCCCTCCTCTCACCCGGCGCTCGGGGCTCAGCAGGGGACGCCGCTCCGGCTTGGGCAGGGCTCCCGGCTCCGGCGGCTGCTGACGGTTCCGTCCCCCATGGCCCGGCCCCGCCGCCTCCCGCCGCCCGGTCAGCGGCCACCGCGGCCCCCGGGTCGCCTCCCGCCGCCGCCGCCGCCGCCGCCGCCGCGGGCCATGGAGCCGAGCCGCCCCGGGGGGCAGGGCGGGGCCGGGCGGCCGGGCAGACCCACGGACCGGCGGACCTACGGAACACAGCGCCGCCGCCTCCCTCCCGCGCTACGGCGCCTCGGAGGGGCAGGCCCGGCCCGCGCGCCCGCGCGCGCGCCCCCGCGGCCCCCGCCTCCAGCACGCCCGCATCCGCCGCGCGCCGCTACGAGCCCGCCCTGCCGGCGGCGGAGCCCGGGCGCCCAGGAGGCACGGACCCCGGAGCGGAGGAGGAAATGGGTCAGGCTGGTCCAAAGGGTGGGCTTAGAGGTCGGACCGGCGAGCGGGTGCAGACTGTCGAGTTCTTTAGCGGGGAGTGGGGATTGGATTGGAGCGCGAACTCCCTAGGAAGGGGACCTGGAGGTTGGGTAGACTCAGGCTGGGGGGCTAGGGATTTGTCAACTCTAATTGGACCAAGATTCAAGGTCGGCCAGCAGAGAGGGGGCAGGACCCTTAAAGGCGTGGGCTGGAGGTGGCTGGGGCTTCTAGGGTAACAGGAAACAGGGTAACGGAAGGAAAAAAAGAGATTGGACAGGGGTGGGAGGAGCTGGGGGCCCTAGGAACAAGGATCAGAGTACAGGTTTCTGCGAGGGGCTGCTATTGGGACAGGACCATCACTGAAGGCAGAGACCACTGCCTGGGCTCCAGGCCTCACAGGTCCCCGAAAGTAAAGCCAGGTAAGTAGATGTTGTTAGACAATTGGGGCATGGTGGTCAGAGCCCTGAGCAAACAGGCCTAGAAGGACCACAGGCACAAACACACCCAGGGGCCCATATCTGCACACTCCCTCATCCCCGAACAAGTCTGTCTGGGGGCCACAGAGTCCTCCACCCAGCACCCTTGCCTCCCCACCTAGGAGCAAGCTCTGTGCAGATCAAAAGTGTGCAGTCAGAAAGCTGATAAGGGATTGGCATGAGGCTTGTAAAGGCCTTTTTACCCTTCCCCTGTGAACGGTGGCGCAAGAGGGCAACAGAAGCTGCACTGACCCAGACAAATACCAAGTTTATTTCACAAACACTAGGAAGATGGGTTGAGGGTGGAGGTGGGGGACACAGGTGCACAGCTGCAGAGTCATCAGCAGCAGCCTGCTCCCGGCACTGAGAGCCGGCCTGGACTGCAGTGCCTCCAAATCGCAGCGAGAGGTGAGTGCAGGGAGGGCCCTGAACACCAAGCCTCTGAAAGGCTAAGGGACACAGCTCCAGCTGTCCCAGGAAAACCATCAATAAATAAGAGTGAGGCACGGCCCCACCCACACATATCATCTAGTCACCCATCTTCACTCTGGAGGTCTGCAAAAGAAGAACAGGAAAAATCAGGCAGGGACAGAGGAATACGTAAGGCAGTGACAAATGACAGAAAATGAGACCTAGCACATGGTTGGATGGACAGACCACAAGAGATTTATGACTAACCAGGATGGACACACTGTGACAGACAAGGCAGACAGACAGGGACAGACAACCACAGAGTTACACTGTGGGACAGATGGAGAGAGGAGGCATATGGGTAAAGCTAGTCACTAAGAGTCAACCCAGTCAAGTACCCACAGTCACACTCAGACCCTCAGGCTGATCCTTAGTCACAAACTCACACTGTCAGACAGACTAGACACACACAATTTAGACAATGCTGTCCTACTGACAGGCATGTCACAGAGAAATACACATAGCTCCGACAGGCAGTCAAACACACCATGATAGACTGACATAGACAGACAAAATTCCATCCTAGTCTAGATCACGAATACAGACTGGAGGCACGAAGAGCATGGCAGATAAAATGAGAGAACAGAAAGAGGGAGAGACTAAGTGAGAGCTATACAAAGCATTAGAAAGGGGGAAAAACAAAACAGGGCTGTTGTCAGTGATACCAAATCAGAGACAAAAATAGCCCCTGCAGGAGAAAACCAGAAGATGGAAATGAGGAGGTGGAAGCTGTTTGGGGGAATCTATAGTTATAGGTAGAGAAGGAGAGCACTTCAGCTTCTCCAGAAGGAGGGTAAGGCTAGGTTGGGGACAAGGACACAGAGGCTCCCCAAGGGGATTCATCACCTGAAGAATTGCGACGATGACCCCAAAGAGGCCAATGGCACTGCCAAAGATCTCCACGATGAGAATCTTTACAAAGAGGCTGGGGTTCTGAGCATCGGCCAGGGCAGCCCCACTGCCCACGATGCCCACGCAGACTCCACAGAAGAGGTTAGACAGGCCTACGGTGAGGCCAGCCCCAAACATGGAGTAGCCTGGGAGGATAGAGAGAGGTGCAGTGAGGCTAAGCCAGGAATGGGGGAGATATGGGCCAATGGGGCCAATCCCCATCCCCACTCTGCAAAGCAGAAAAAGCAGGTGAGAGAATATCAAAATGGGGGTCTAAGCTGGGAGGGGAGAGAGTAGAAGCAGGCATGAAATCCCAGCATTTTGCATTCATACACCCATCCACCCACCTGCATGGTAGTTCCGATGGCCAATGGCCTTGGGGTCCGTGGCACTGAAAGGCTGAGGGAAGAAGAAAAGTAATCAGAAACCACCCTGATGCACCCCATCCAATCTCTAAGCAATGTGTAGAACACACCGGAATGGATTCCCGCCACCACCCTGGCCTTCCGTACCTCAGCCATGTTGCTAATGACAATTGCCATGATGATGCCGTAGATGGCCACAGCCTCACAGAAGATGATGCTGGTAGTGGTAGAGGTTAGGGGTAAGGAGTGGAAAGGAGAAAGAAATGAGAAAGAAACCATCCTTCCTGCCCAGTAAGTCCCCAGTAACCTTTCGCCGCTAACATCCCATCCACAAGGTGGCTTGTCAGAAACAGTATGTCAGATCACACACACAGGCAGCGCCAACACAGCTAGTTCTGACAAAAGTCCGAGGGCCCTGACACTTACCTGACCAGGTTCTTGGTCTTGATCCTGGGGGCCTTCACTCCTCCACCAATGATGGAAGAGCCAGTAATATAGATACCCCTGGTGGAAGGATAAAAAACTGATGAGCAGAGACCAAGCTGTCACTGCCCTCAGCATGACTAAGACCCCAGTGACACCACCTGCCATGACTCAGCCCCTGCCCCCAGTCCCACCACACCAGTACTCACCAGGCTGCCCCAACCACAGACAGGGAGATAGCTAGGCCAATGCCCAGGTTGGACCACATGAAGGGCGAAGTCTCCGTCAGGAACCTGTTGTGGAGGCAGAGAAGAAAGCAATTCAGCCCTAGCAGGGAAGTAGAACACAAAATCTTGGCCCCCCAACCCCCCTTCAACCCCACCACCAGTTCTGCATGCAACAACTGACTGCATATTTCCCAAAGGTCCATGTCCCAGGCAGGCGGTGGTGTGGCTCGAGAGGGACTCAGACCAGAGAAAAGAGGAGAGGCTGCAGGAAAGAAGCTTCAAGGGGTATCCTGCCCCTGCCCTCCCTTACCATGCCACATCAAAGCGGAAGCCCAAATCAAAAATGGTGTAGCAGATTCCTGCAGCAATGAGGAAAAAAAAGGGGGTTACGGGATGCTCTGTAGAGATAAGTTCCTCAACCTAAAGTAGCTGCCGAACTGAAGGGCCGCGCCGAGCTGAAGGACCACCTCCCTGAAGGGGCGTCCTCAGGTTGCCTGAGGGGGTGTCCTCAGGCTGCCCTCAGGTGACAATACAGCTATCTAGACAGATTCCTGTGCTTAGGCCTCCATTTTCTGCCACTCCCTTGCTAAAACCACCTCCCAGACCAAGCACCTGTGCAGGCAGGATCGCCACCCGCAAGCCTGAGAATCCGAGGCGGGACCGAGGGAGCAAGCGCTCCAGCCAGGCCCCGCCAGATCCCGCCGGTCCAGTCCGTTCCGCTGTTTACCCAACAAGCTGTGAGTGGGGGAGGGCAAAGCGACCGGGAAAAGAGGAACCGGAGCAGCCGGCCTGTGACCAAGCAGGCCGATCAGGAGCAAGAAAAGGGGGACGGCAGTGAGACGTGGGGGCGGGGGGAGACAGCGATAGTGGCAGGAAGGGAGAGTGCTGCCCTCGCGGCCCCTACCCGCCCGCACCCGCGCCCCTCCTCAAGTAGCTAGAGATCCGGGTCTCCTCTGTCGGGGTCAGAGGCCCTCGCAGGCGCCAGTCCAAAAAGCCCGGGGTGCAGAGCGCGCGGGGGGCCAGTATTCCCCGCAGGCCACTTCCCCGGTGGGTTCTGGCCCGGCCAGCTCGGCCGCGATGCTGCCCCCGCCCGCCAGGACCCGGCCTCACCCACGGCCAGCGCGCAGGCCCAGAAGGCCACGAAGACCCCGGAGTAGAGCAGCGCTAGCCCCGTCATGGCAGCGACGGCGGCGAGGGTCGGAACCGTGGGGCCGGAGTTACAAACGCGTCCCAGCGTCCACCGTCCGCCCCGCAGTCTGTCCGCCCGCCCCGCAGCATCACCTGACTCCCCCACGTGACGCGCCGGCACCACGTGACCCCACGCCGATTCCCCGCGCAGTGCAGCCGCCCGTCTAGAACAAGGCGACGCCGGAACCGCAGGCGCTGGGGATTGTGGTAATTGTAGTCACGCGTCTCGGCGGAGGCTCGGGCGACCTCCTTACTAGGAACTTCGACATCTGGCCGGTCCTTTTCGAGTCTCTCCACCTCGCCCTGCCAGCCCTGTTTTATTCTCTAGCCTGCTCGTGGGCCCCTAAGGCGTCCTCTCTAGCCGTCGGGCGTCCTAGCCAGTGGCGGGTGGCGCCGCGCGTGCCCTCTGCCTCACCTTGCTCAAAGCGTCTCTCCGCCCCAGCGCGCCTGTTGGCTCTCGTTCCGCTGCCTGGCTGACACCTGCCGTCCTCCGAAATCGTCCTTCCGTCAAGCCTTCCCTAACCCAGTGGCAGGGAAGCGCGTTTGCTGGGCTCCCACGATGTCCTGGTGATGCTTATTAAGCTTCAGTAAGATGTCACTCTCGTCTTAATGCCCTGATGGCTCGCATTTCATTCAGGAGAAAAGCCAAAGTCCTCACAATGGCCTGCTAGGCTCCCCACGCCCCTCAGCTGACTTCACCTTCTAATACTCCGCCACTAACTCTCTTCTGCCTGCACTGCCCTCCTTGCTATTTCCTTGAACGTCCCAGCCATATTCCCACGTCACTGCCCTTGCACTTGCTCCCTCTGCTTCTCCTAACTATCCATGCGGCTCATCCTGTAACTTCCTTTCAGTTTTTGCTCACCTTCTTGAAAAGGCCTTCTCTGACCATTCTGTGTAATATTCCACCCCCCTTAAACGCTCCTCTGCTTCCCAGCTTTACATTTCTCACGGTACTTACTGATCACCATTTGGCATACCAAGTCTTTTATTTGTCCATCTCCCCCTGGAAGAATGTAAGCACCATGTCTTTTGTGTCACTCACTGGTGTATTTCCAGTACCCGGCACAGAGTGTGTCCTCAGTACATATTTGTAGAACACGATTGATGCCCACTTTGTCCGGGTTACCCTGTCAGCTTATAGCTCTACCTCCACCATTAGACTAGGCATTCCCTGAAGGTAGGGACCACATCTCCTTTGTTCACCTTCAATACCCTAGACAATGCCTCCATGACAGGATTCTCAACAAATGTGGGGAAGAAGAGGCGAGTCTTTTCATTTCCCCCCTCTCCACCCTTAGGGCCCAGCAACCCCACTTGCTTGAAGTACCCGCCATGTTGGTTCATGCCTGTGTTTAAGCCCAAATATCTTTATCACTCCTTTTCTCCTGACAATTATTTTTTTCCTCCAAAAGATCTAGCTTAGGTGTTATGCCCTTTGGGAAGCCTACTCTCAGTCCTTGTCAGGTGTCTCCTGTGGGATCCAGCTGTCCCTGGGACTTCCCTCCTCCCAGATAGGGCTGTTTCACTGTATGCTGACTGCATATTTAACTCTCTTTCCAAGTGCACTGGAAAGGAATCTGGTTAAATACAGTTAACATCTACATCCCAGGACCTGTGCAGGACCTAGAGTATTTCATGAATTAAAAAAGAAACAAAGAGAAAAGGTATCTGGTTTATTCAGGTTGCTGTGATCTCCCTGAGAAATAAGAGTCAGTATAGACCAACACTGTCCAACAAACAGAACTTTCTGCCATGATGGCATTATTCTGTAGCTGCACTGTCCCCTCATGTGGCTGTCTGAACACCTGAATGACTAATGTGACTGAGAAACTGAGCTTTTAATCTTAATTAACTTAAATTTAAGTTTAGCCACATGTATTTAGTGGCTACTGTACTGGACAGTGCAGGTCCAGCTCGACCAGTGGTTCTCAATTGAGGGCAATTTTGCCCCCACAGAGAACATTTGCCAATGTCTGTAGATATTTTTAGTTGTCACAATTGGGGGAGTGCTTCTGATGTCTAGTGGGCAGAAGCCAGGGATGCTGCTAAGCACCCTACCATACACCGGACAGGCCCCACAACACAGAATTATCTGGCCCTAAATGTCAGGTATGAGTTTGAGAAACCGTGGTCTAGACTGTCTAACACCTGCCTTTTGACAAGGACAGACCCTCAACTGGAGACCAGGAACTGGGATTGGCCAAAGGTCCTGGGCTGCCCCCAGGAAGACAGATGGGTCCAGAGGCCTCAGGGAAGTCCCTAAGCCCTTTATTCCATCAGCCAAACAACAAGCATTTACTGGGCATATGCTTAGCTTGTGCCAGTGCCAGGACAGATCAGAGATGGATCCTATCCTCAGTGAAGGCTGCCTGCTCTCCCTCCTTCCAGGGTCCTTCAAGGATCTTGGCAGGGGGATGGGAGGTTGGTGCAGGGAACACTAAAGGTCCTAGCAGCCATTCGTAAGTCCATCTATGTCTCCGGCCCCACATGGTATCAGCCGCTTCCCTCATCCTCATAGGCGATGGCAATCCCTCGTCTTCCACTCACAGCTTCTGTCACTGGCGTCTGACCCAGGCGGGGCTCCAGCCCTTGCCAGCTCCGGGAACTAAGGAACGAGGCTGTAGAGGGAGGGGGCTCAGTCTGAGTGCACTGCATCTGGAGAAAGAGTTCAGCTGAGAGTGAAGACTTGTACATTTACCTGCAGGACTGCTCTCAGCCAGTTCCAGCTGGGGCCGTGGGGTCAGGGCCAAGCTTCCAGAATCATTTGATGACTTCCAGGCAGGTGGGGGTCGGAGATCTCCAGTAATGAGTGACACATCTGGGGTTTCCCACAGCTCTGACTCAGGTGGTGGGAGAGGCACGTGGAAGGGAGAGCCTGAAAGGGAGGAGGAAAGAAAATCCATACTCACCCCCTGACTCCGTGCCCCAGGTTTCCAGCTTAGGCAATGCCCCACTACTCACCAGGCAATAAGTCTGCATAATGTGTGAGGTGGGGAGCCAGGCCTGGAGGTGGCCAGGCAGGGTTGCAGGCAGCTTCCAGCTCACATGGTGCCAGTATAGGCCGGAAGAAGCTACCAGAAAGCTGGGGGGCTAGGGCACCCAGAGGACAGGCTAATAGCACAAAGACGTCCACCTCAGGGAAGTTGGCAAGCTTGGCGGGGGTGGGCCGCCCCAGGGCCAACACATAGCTACGCTTGCCGGCAGCCTGAGTCAGGTTCCGCAAGTGGGCCAGTGCCTCACGGTGTTGAGCTACACCCAGTGTGCCTGCCAGCAGCCCTACAATGTGGGCATCTCTGGCCCTCTCTACCAGATATCGTCTTCGTGCCCTTAGCCGTCCAGCCCGGGCACCCTCATCCTGAGTCTTCCCTGTATCTGGGCAGCAGGAGAAGAAGGGTCGACCTGGTGCCCACCCCAAAAGCAGCCGACTCAGGTCTGGGTCAAGGTCTGGGTCAGGGCTGGCCTCAGAGCCCCCCACGTAGAAGGCACCATACTCTTCTAGACGCCTCCCTGGGGCAAGAGGGAAGTAGCGCCCAAAACACTCTAGGGGCTTAGGCTCTGGACTCAGGGAACCCACTGGCAGGGGAAAAGCTGGGCTGGAGACTAGCAAGTCCAGGTACCGTGGGCGCAGGAGAGTAGCCAAAGCCTCTGGAAGAGAAGGAGGTAGTGTTGATGTTGGAGCCTGGCAAAGCAGGAGCTCCCTCATCCCCAGGAGACTAAATATGACCCAGTAGGCTGGGGCCAAGCCCATATCAAGAGTTCTATGGATGTATACGGAAATGGGGAAATTAAGGCAGAAAGCAGTTGGCCCACCCTTTGTGCATACACAGGCAAAACTCCTTACCCAGGGCATGGGCACAGGCCGGCTCACTCAGCAGTGCCACAGGCGCTTTGGGGTCTGGGTTCTGGGCCTCAAAGGCCTTGACGCAGAGCTCCAAGGCCACAGAACGTTGACCAAGGACGAAGGCGACGGGCAGTGGGCGGGCTGGGGGGCTTAAGCAGGCAGGGCCAAAATGTATGAGAGCCTGAGCTCCAGCTTGCTCAGCACCCAGCACATCCATGCAGCAGCTGCAGGGGAGATAGCATCAGTGAAACGGGTTTTCTTCTGGAAGCAAGTTGCTGTCATCACTGGAAAATGTGGTCAGTGGATAAAATGGTTTCATTAAAGGAAGACATTGTCAATGAAGGGAGCTAGCATCAGGAGGGGAGTCATTACCATTATCATCAAGGAGAAACACCACCATTGAAGGCAAACACTGTCATAGGTGTAAAACCCCACGAGCCCCGGATCCCCAGGCCTGGCCCACCTAAGGCCAAGTTCACACCTGCCGTAGGCTGTGTCCCCCAGAATGAACATCTTTGACCCTGTCGTCTCCTCCAGTCGTGCAGCCACAGCTACAGCATCTCCCAATAGCTGGTCAGGGAACTGCAAGGCAACCTATAAGCATAAACCATGGAGTCAGGGACAGCCTCTCTCCCACCGAGGACTTCTTTAAAGCAGTATTCCAGGAGCTCCCACTCAACCTTCAAAGCCCCCGGTCCCAGAGGTGCACTCTGCCCCACGTAGTAGGTGGAAGGGAGGGATGGTCAACGCGCTGCGGACAGACTGATTCCCCCACCCTCTCGCCCTCACAAAATCCCCCAAGATCCGGATCCTCTAGGCGACCCATCCCCACAGAGGCGAGCCACCCTTCCCTAAGTCTGTCCTTACTCGTTCACACCCCAGGTCGCGGATAAATCCAGCGACTCGCTCCAGCTCGTACACTCGGTCCAGGTCCGGGAGAGGAGTGAGCAGTCCTGGCGCCCCCGCCTCTCGCTGCAGCGCCGCCTCGGCAGGGCTGCTAAACATCGACTCCATGAGGCACAGCTTGGGTTGTGGGATGCAGCGGGGACCTCCCTGGGACAGCTTCGGGGTCTGAGTCCTCAGGAGCAGCACTCAGGGGATCAAAATCGCCTTGTGGGGGTAGGGAAATCACAGTCGGCCTTCGGCCGGTGGGCATCCCCTTCAGCCACCCGAACTCCTGTTTCCCCGCTACACGTGGGACTACCGGGGAAGTTACTTCCGGGTTTTAGAGGCGTGGCTGATAGCGATTTTGCCAATCCTAAATCAGCACAGCTCCCTCCCTCCAATCCTCGCCACCAAGCCCCGCACAGAGAACCAATGTTCTGCCTGAGTCCCAGGCCAGCCGGAAGTGCATTGAGGAAGGCGCGGAGCCTTGTGGGCATTGTAGTTCCCCTGGCGCTCCTTTCGGGCGCTGGGAGTCCGGTTCAGCCCACCCACGGCCATCAGGAGCACCAACTTCACTGTTAAGCATTTCACGTGCACGCTATCCTCTGGGCAGTATCACTGCATAATTCTTTCATTCATTCTTTCATTTTTGACAAAGTCTCGCTATGTTGCTCGGACTGGAGTGCAGTGGCGCAATCTCCACAACCTTCACTTTCTGGGCTGAAGCCATCCTCCCACCTCAGCCTCTTGAGTAGTTGGGGCTACAGGCGCGCGCCACCACATCTAGCTTATTTTTGTATTTTTTGTAGAGACAGGTTTTTGCCATGTTGCTCAGACTGGTCACCAACTCCTAAACTCAAGCAATCCACTCACCTCAGCCTCCCAAAATGCTGAGAT